GGGGAGACAGCAAGTACGGGACAATTTGTCTGTTTTTAAGAAAAAGTCGGGACACCTGCAAAAGGGCTTAAATACGGGACTGTCCCTTTAAAAACCAGACATCCAGTCATCCTACATATCTCTGAAAGTTCAAACAAGAAGTCTTGTGACCTTAAAAGCATTTTCTTGTGTTTTGCCAATCCAGATTCCTATTGGAGCTGATGCCAGCTCCGACTGTTGTTCAGATTTGGAGAAATATGAGATCTGAGAAGACCCCTCTCCTGATCTCAGCTTTTCAATCACCCTGACCCCGAAGAGCATGGCAAGAAGCATGTGCTATTCCTCAATGCATTTACTTGAGCTATTGCAAACAAGTTTATGCCTCCAAATTGATGCATTTTGATGAGCCTTCTTTCTAGTCTTTCCTCATCACCTCATGTGCCCCCATCTGCTATGACCCTCTCGTCACCTGTGGACTCCACTTCTTTGTAACCTTCCCCCTATACCAGTGTCCTGATTCCCCTGTGCTCAGGTGTTTTCCAACCTGGAAATTGGATAGTATTCTGAGGAAAAGATTAGGCATGAGCTCTATTATGCTCTGATCCTTTTCAATATGTTCTTGTTGGTTGAGAGGAGTGCAGATTTAACTATGAATAACTAATTTGAAATTATAAGGTTCAGCTTCTCTCCCACCCATCCCAAGTGAAGGTGTTTGTGGTTTGCTAAAGAGCTTATGTGAACATGCTTGGTTTGTTTTCTTCTATGACCATTAGATCAGTAGAAAGTACTGTAAATCTCCTGCACTTAGGAAATTATTTGCCTTCCAAAAGATTGAAGATCTTTCTATCAGATCTATTCTCTGCTAATGCTTAACAAAAATGCACAAGGACTGAACCCAGATGATCAAGGACTTCCTCAAACTTGTCAAAAAAACAAATGATCTGTAGTGCACTAAGAAGGCTCCATGTTCAGTAGTTCAGTTCTTATTGGATTTATTCTTTTTCATTATAGGCTATGATGTTGGGTGCTGCTATCAAGTATGTTTGGGCTAAAGCAGTGGGCGACAGTTGCTATGTATAATGCTTGCTTGGGAATTTTTTTCTCTGAAGGGAGTAATTTAATTGATGGGGAAGCCAATACAACTCTTAAGCAGTTGGCTCATTCCAAGGATAAAAATCTGTAGAAATACCAAGTACATTTTCAGTCTTTTAGCTACATTGGTAGGCTCTCCAGCCAAGGAAGACTTCAGTTAAATCCAGCAGCTTTTCTCTAGGTTTTTTTTCTTGAGCACCAAATTCGAAAGCAACCCTTGTCAAGCTGAGCTTAGTGGAAAATTCTTCCTTAACAAGGAAATTTATCCATTAACCTTTTGCAACGGTTAGTATAATTGTGACATTTTAACGTATTCCCGTTACTTAACTAATGTAATTGAAAATCACTGGTTTCCTGTTGAAAACAGCACTTGCTGTCAACTACTGTACTTGCATTCTGTTGTGTGCAGTGTTTCAGTTTACACTGCATAACTGTATGCTTTAGTCAGATTACAGTGCTGAAGCTAGAATGAAATTAAAAGATTGAACACTTCTGTAAAGCATGTCCACTTCTCTGATATATGATGTGGACAGCTTGGAGCTACTCCAGTGGTGCAAAGATGTTGTTTAGGTTTAGGACTAGTCTCTAAAACTTGGGTGGTGCAGTGTGAGGCTGGACTTCCTTATGCCCAGCTGCCAGAACAGCCTTTTCAGGCCAGACTAGCATCCAGATGGCGCCAGGATTACATAGCACTGCTTTCTTCTGGGGTGGCACCTGGGGCTCTTTGACAACGTCTCTGTGAGTCACTTTCTGTTTTTAGCCTGAGAAACTTACTGAAAAATCCTGGATGAGGTCAGAACGTTTTTGGGCAGAATGATGACGACATGAAAGAAGCCTTGACTTTTTTCCAAACCAAGTGTAGCAGCACTTCACTGGGCAAAAGAACCTTCAAGACTAAGTAGGGAAGGCGTAGTCTATGTTAAAGCATAGTCTCCAGCTTCATAGCCTCATACAGCATTTGCTGAGTTTCCTGGGAGCTGCTTCCTAATATCATGCTTCTTCAATGATTTAAAATGGCTGGGATTATGTGGGAGTCAATGACCCCAATAGACTCCAACCCCTTAGAGGTTGGAGTATTCCATCCTGCGTCACCATGGAGGCAGTTTCATTATAGACTCAATCACCTTTAGTATAGAAAGGATGGTGGAACATACACTTTCTTTGGCTTTAAAGAGTATACATTAATACATGTTGTTGGGATTCCCTCGGAGACCTACCTACACACACCGCGAAAAACCCACAACACCTTTATTTATGAAATTATAGCCTGCTTTAGTTTTTGCATATATCTCTAGCAGTAAATAGTCAACTAAGGCCATGGTTCTCAACCAAGGGTACCCCCTGGAAGACCTCTGCATATGCATACATCAACTCCTCTAGATATTTGCCTAGTTTTACAACAGGCTACATAAAAAGCACTAACTAAGTCAGTACAAACTCAAATTTCATACATACAATGAATTGTTTATACTGCTCTATATTCTAGACACTGAAATGTAAGTACAGTATTTATATTCCAATTGATTTATTTTATAATTATACAGTAAAAATGAGAAAGTAAGCAATTTTTCAGTCATAATGTGCTGAGACACTTTTTTGTATTTTTATGTCTGATTTTGTAAGCAAGTACTTTGTAAGTGAGGTGAAACTTGGGGTATGCAAGACCAATCAGACTCCTGAAAGCGGTACAGTAGTCTGGAAAGGTTGAGAACCACTGAACTAGGGGCTAGCTTGATTGATTGATGGGAGGCCCTATGCCTCAGGGGTACCCATCTAAGGCCTAGTTACCTCTCTGCTTGGATCCTTGCTCCAGGGGAGGAGGGTAGTAATTTGCTGTGATCCTCAACCAGAAGCAAACTACAATGCCCACTACTCTGGCTCACTTTTGGCTGGTTCATTGGAGGACAGAGCCAAGAGTTCATCAATTCACCACTTACTCCATGTCCACCTGCTCTGTGTGTAGTGATCAAAGGTCCAGGTAACTTACTTAGAAGTGTAAGGGGGCAGAGAGCCTCCTGTGGATGTATAGTTCAAGCTACAATCTAGCCCAAATGAGGAAAGATTAAAAGGATAGAACATGGAGCATAACTTCTGATTTCTAGTAAGGAAAACCATGTTTTTATAAGTCTTATTATAAATAATACTTAAGTGATCACTTAAAAATATTGCAGATTGGAAGGGGTGAGGAAAATATTCTTCTATAACACAGCCAAAAAAGGAGGCATAACCAACAAAGGGCAACATGCAAAACTTTTCCTATAATAGGAATTTAAATTGGGGAAACTGGACATTTAGCTCATCTTTGGTTTGTGGAATCCCATTGTGAGTTAAATATTGTGTTGTGTTATGAGACCTGATTAGTGCCACCCTTCTAACTCTTGTGGACTGTTGTTTAGTGCTGGGGAATATTGATTCTCAGTGCAGGAAACTGTTCTGAAGTGCAAGGCAGGGAAAATAGAGGAACAAATTGAGGAATCCTCACCAGGGACACAAGTAAATGGGGGAATAATTTTGCTTAAACTGTTTATGGAATGCCTGCTTTGTGGTATCTTGCTATTCTACATCATTACTTTATTAATGAATATATTGCTTTACCTAGGATTGTGGGGAGTGGATTATTGTACCTAGACACTTGTATTTACTGTAGCTCCCATGTCAACTAATGTTGCACAAAATGAAGGATTGATGTGCCTCTATATTTGTTGACCTCTTGTCTCTATGTGCTGGTCTAGTTTGGCTCTACCGAAGGGGCAGTGTGATGTTTCAGACTAAACTCTTGTTGGGTGTTCTAGATATAAAAATCTTTTGCAAACCAGAATTGTTTGAACACCGAATAAATAGAGGAATTTTAGAATTTTTTTGTAAAGATTTCTTGGGTCAAGGAAGTGCTGTGTGACCCCTCTGCATGTTACTGCTTTGTATAATTTAAGTAGGGAAGCCAGGTACCTAAAATATTCCTCTTCCTGCTGTCATTTGGTAGGGCCAGTGTATTCCATTACAGTAGTGTTCCAAATCATTAAAAGCCAGAAGGTAAAGGTAAGATTATCTAGATTTTTTCCCTCCCTCTTTTCCTCCCTCATCCTCCCCCTCCACTCCTGCCAAATATGTGGCTATGACACAAAGATCATGTATGTACTACTGTGAAAAATAAATTTCCCCCTATATATAGAATATTTTTCACATCAACACCTAACCAATAAAATAAAATAAATTGTCTGGTCCAATGATAGTTGAACCAAAGTCACTACTTTTATTGGAGGATACCTCTGGTCAGAAATCTGGGAAGTTGTTATACTTTCATTAACATTTTTCTACAAATAAAAAATCATGAACAAAAATCGTAGAATCAGCAGCAGCTCTGTTCCTACCTGTATGTCAGATTACTTCAAGGTCACTCCTTTAGGACTGTCATGCAGAAGAAGAAAACGTTTTCTGTTGGCATTTTCATTTAGGTTTTCCTCCTTTGCTCCTGCCTCTTTCTGCAGCATGTCTCAGTACTTGAGTTGCTCATCTAAGCTTTGGGTTTGTTGGTTGGTTGGTTGGTTTTTTTGGGCGGGGGAGGGGAGGACCTTGAGTTGCTCACGTGTGCTGAAAAACATGCCAGAAATCTAGGTTTTTATAGTCTGCTTTACAGGCAATGATGCACTAAGGAGATCTTTTTCAGTAAGAGTTGTTTTTACCCATATTAATATAAAGGTTTTATACTAAACTGTGGTGTCTCCTGTGGCTATGTACTATATGTAAATAATCCTGGTAGGCACATACATTCAATGAGACATGGTGTCAGAAAAATTGCACTTCTTTTACTTTGTGTTGTCTCTCTCAAGGTGAGACTCTGGTCTCACTGGGTTTTATTCAGAGAAATGTTTTCATTCTGTTCCTTTATTTAAAAAAAAAAAAAAGCAGGTTTGGATTTTGTGTTTTAATAGGACAGCTGGGAAGTTGTAGAAGGACTGCGAGGAGTCATGAATTATACTCAGGAACCACAGAAACAGGAAGGCTACCTGCTGAAAAAGAGGAAATGGCCTCTGAAAGGCTGGCACAAGGTAGGAAAGAAGTGTGTATCTTAGGGTTAGTTGCTATTTAAACTTAACACACTTGGTGTGTTGTCCTTTGTTGAAAAGTTAACAGCAGAAGATGCCCTTTTAGTGGAATATATTGTATCATTTCCTGCTCTGCTATAAAAGGTTTCTTTGCACTTCTGATTACAGAGATACTTCTTCTTGGACAGAGGAATTTTGAAGTATGCCAAGTGTCAAGCTGATGTAAGTTGTGTGTCTCCCTCGATTTTGTTGTATTTCATATGAATACCAGGACTTGGGTCATGTTGTGAAAAGGAAAGATAGATTTTGAATTTCTAAACTACAAGATGAATTAAAAATATTGGTCCTGCCAATCAGTGCATCTCTTCTCCTACCCTGCCTCAGGCATTAATGCTAATTTTCTATATAAAATCTTTCTTTGCAGGTAGAAAGAGAGAAGCTGCATGGCTGCATTGATGTTGGACTTTCAGTGATGTCTGTAAAGAAATCAACAAAATGTATAGATTTGGATACAGAAGAATACATATACCATCTAAAGGTAATTCTTCAAGGCAATCGTATTCTGTATCTTACCAATCAAATTGTAAAAATATTAAAACATTGTGATGTACCTAGTGATCTCTGTGTATGTGTGTGTTGTTGGCCTCTTAATAAAGGGGGCTGGAAATGTTGGTTAACTTGAAGGAAAAACGTTTTAAATTCTGCAGCGGTTGTCAAATTTGGCAAAACTTTATAGTTTGCTGAGAAGCAGTTGATCTCCTTTATTTTGCTGTAGTTCAGTTTCTGGAATTTGTAATTTCTTTAAAATCTCTCTAACTTTAAATTTTGTCAAACACAAAGTCTCATTGTTGGCAGCAATTTTTTATACTTAAATTAGGTACTCCTTTTTGTGAGATGAATATGTTGGGGGGGGTGAGGGGGGGAGAAATGGACCAGAGTAATTAGATGCTGCTGTTGTGCCCTTTGGCATCTTTTCCATTATGTGAGCGTACTTGCACTTATCTAATCTATTAATAGGACATAATTAAGAAGGAATGTATTTATTTTATCTGTGGACTATATTCTGTAGTTTTAAAGTTGTAAGTTTATCTTTTTTTTTTTTTTTAAACCTTAAAAGCAAATAAGTTTGGAAGTAAAACTGAAAACATATATACATATACACACACAACTATGGCATGTGCAAAGATTTAATGCTGCCATGCTTCTGTGAGTCTAAGTTGAGCCTGTCTTCTAGATGACAGGCTTACAAGACTTGTATTTAAGTTCACACTATCAGGCCCTATTTAGTAAGGTACACCTTTTTAGGATAGCGCTTAAGTCCTATTGAAGTCAGTGAGACTTAAGCATGTGTGTCAGAGTTGCCCTGAATAGGGATGGACTCAAACATTTGTTTGTGCTTTCCTGAATTGGGGCCTTACAGAGAGACTTCAGCTAACATAGTTTTCCTCTTAAACTGCTCCATGAATTTTTTTTCTATGTTGTATTCAGGCAAGTGATGAGTACTATTTAACAGGCACACTTTATTGACGCTTTGTCAAGAATTCAGAACCCTTTGTGGCCAACTTATAAGAAATAAGAAAAAATAAGATCTAGTTTTGTCTAGTAATTTAAGGTTGAACCATGACTCCCTATCATATAACTTAACTATTTTCTGTAGGTGAAATCTCAGGAACTGTTTGACGAATGGGTAGCAAAACTGCGTCACCACAGACTGTATCGTCAAAATGAAATTGCCATGTTTCCACATGATATCAATAATCATTTCTTCCCCGCGTCCTCTACCGCAGACTCTGTACCTGGTGTGTTCGACTCTGTCTCAGGTAGAAAGGTAATGATGAGCTTTCATCAAGGATTAATGTAGCTTGAGTTCCTCTACCAAACCAAAAACTTAATTACGGTCTTTCACAAACTGATAAAGATTTGGTGTAAGATGTAAACAGTAAAATGGTCTAAGGCAGGTGGTCTCAACCTTTTTCTTTCTGAGGCTCTTCCCCCCCCTGCCACCCCCCATCAACACACTATAAAAACTCCACAGCCCACCTGTCCCACAACAACTGGCTTTCTGCATATAAAAGCCAGGGCTGGTTTTAGGGGGTAGCAAGCAAGGCAATTGCCTGTGGCCCCCATGCCACAAGGGCCCCTGCGAAGCTAAGTTGGTCAGGCTTTGGCTTCAGCCCCAGATGGCGGGGCTCAGGGCCCCAGGCTTCAGCCCCATGTAGTGGGGCTTTGGCTTTCTGCCGTGGGCCCAAGTGACTGGCCATGCTTGATGGACCCCCTGGAGCCTGCTCAAGGGGCCCCGGAGCCTTGGTTGAGAACCACTGCTATAGAATACTGTACAGTTATCCTGTGTTTTTAAAATATCGTTGTTTAAAGTTGTATTAAAATTTAATTTTATTTTGCTTCATTTAAACAGTAACAAGGCCAGTATCGGAAAAGTTATAATCTTTTTATGGTTGCATAATAAATATCTTTGTTACACATGAGTTTTGCTGTCAGAATGGGAGAAGTAACTCTAGATTTTTACTTAAATTTAAGCTTTGTCCATTCATGCTAAAGTGGTGAAAATGTGTGGGTTTAACATTAAAACTTAGATACTTTATGAAATTATTTGCTATAAGAACTACAAAACATTAGCAATCCAATATTATAAGTAATTAGGCTTCCTTTAAAAAGGTGCAGTGATGATAAAACTGTAAATCATAAATTTGCCAATGTGTTTAATTGACATGAAATTTTCTTCAAGATGACTTGTTCACACAGATTCTACTCTTACCATGCATGCACCCCATGTGCACGAGTTTGGATTCTTTTGGCCAGCCGCAGCAATTGGGGCCACGCCTGCACCATAGATATCCTTGTGCTAACCACCCCATACGCGCACGCTCCTGAGGGAATAAAGGGCAGAATGGGTCTTTTGGTTCCTTTTTTACCGACTGTGGCAGCAAGTCAAAACTCCTGCAGTGTTTGCCTGCTTTTCTGTATACTGTGCTAGCGTTAATTAGCTAGTACTCTCGCTAATTATTTACTAGTTGGTTATTGCCCACTTTTTTTTTTTTTTTTTTTTTTTTTAAACAAATATCAGTTTAGGCTAGATGCACCCATCCTACCAATATAGCAGAAGCTTTAAGACCTGTAAATGCTGGGTACTTCTGGTGCCTAATCTGCCTAGGATAGGGACATGTAGAGCATTTTGGGGGAGTATGTCACTCTTTCTCTAGCTACACTCGGAAAACTAGAAAAGTCCATCTGAGCTGTTCCACCTTGAGAGCCTGATGCTCTCCTCCTGGGACACTGAAGGAAGTTCGGAACTGGACCATAGTCATCTGGGCGGCCCCTTTCTATTAGTGCACCGGTGAGCCAAGATTCTAATCTGCGCTCCCAGACCACTACTTCTTAAAGGCTTTGTTTGCTATTCCAGCGTTAACAACTTCTGATGGGCAGAAAAGAGCACCACTGCGGGGCCAAGATAGGTGCAGGTCACCTTCACCCTAGCAAGCAGAGACAGAAGAACCATCAAACTTCTGGCTTGGCTTGGTTTAGGCTCAAGTTTAGGCTCAATCTCCCAAAGCCCAAAAGCATAACCAGGCCTCTTGAAGTACCCTAGTACCAATTACCAAGACAGCATCAGCAGTAGTCCCAGAGTCTATGGACCTCTCTCTCTCTCTCTACCAGTCCTTCGGAATCAATCTCAACACTGGGTATCTTGGTATCCAGAGCTTTGGCACAGTGTGTCTCAGTACCCTGAGTCCTGGTAACTATTGCCTCCATACTCATCTCAAAAGAGTGTTCCCCAGTACTAGCTATCTTGGTACCCAAAGCATACACTGTACCCAAGTGACTTAACTGTGAGCTCAATACCCGAGTCACCCCTCCTTAAAAGATTGAAGGTGGTGATGTTCAAGCCACCAGCTTCTGAGTATCAGTTTATCAGGTTAAGAAAGTATTTGCAGTGGGGTGGGCAGCCATACTCTAGAAAGCCTGCATCTTTTACTGTCTCCAGAGCTAGATCCTCCTCCCCAAAGAGGTAATATAGGTCGTTCCAGCCGTGCCATCTAGTGCGGTCTCAAATATTGGTAAGGCAAGAGTTGGAAAGTGAGGAAGAGCATTAGCTGCAAGGAGGAAAATCATCTCGTCCTCCGTGCCATCTTCGCATCCTCCCCAGATGGGGCAGTGAATTCTGCAATGTCTTCCTCAGTGGATGACTTCAGGGTGTTCCAGGAATATGGCAAAGACCCTGGGTATACTACTGGAAGTGGTACAGGAGAAACGATATCAACTCATGGACATCTAATACCTTTCCACACCTGGCAGGCTCACCAGGCCCACAAAATGAGGGACTATTGGAGCCTGAAACACACCCAAGTGAGCCAATAGATCATTTTCAGATACTAGCTCCTTTCCAGGGAATTTAGATATTTCTGTTCATAGCCAGTACTGGGTTTGCTTGTAGTGGCCACTGTCCAGGAAACATAAAAACAGGGACCTCCCAAATGAATACCCTGAGAGAAGACCCAAATAAATTGGACCTCTTTAGGTGTCAGGTATACTCCTCAGTCAGCTTCCAGATGCATATAACTAATTATCAGGCCCTCCTCTCCAAGTATGGGATAAATTATCAGGCCCTCCTCTCCAAGTATGGGATCTAGCTTATAGATAAGCTTCCAAAAGCACATCAAGAGAAGATGAAGGTCCTTTTGCTGAAGGACTAATTGACAGACTGTGCTGAACACATTTAACATATGTAATATGGCCACATTGGTGGCAATGAGTAGGTCTTCCTGGCTGTAGTCTGTAGGGATCCCCTGGAAGGCCTAAACAACAATTGACGACCTTGCATTGGCGGGTAGTGAACCTCTTAATTCTAGGATGGATGAGGCCCTCCGTTCCCTGAGACTTGAGGACAACTCTGTTCTTGAGACTGGAACACAGCAGCCCAAAGAAGGAAGCAAACATGTCAACAATTGTCCTTCAAGCAGTGCTTCTCTGCCTAGTGCTGTTGTCAGCCCCAGAGGACCTCAAAAACACAAGAAAGATGTAGCTGAAGCAGGAGAAGTAGAAGTTCCACTAGAGATGACTCTCTGCCCTTCTCTCTGCTGCTGCACATGCTGTGATGTCCACCAGGCAGCAGGTCTGATGCCAACTTCAAGAGCCCAACAGAATTATCTGGAATCTTTGCCAAAGGGGGGTAAAAAAGGAAATTGCATCTTATTTTTGGAAAGCCTGGACTGGGATCACCTTGGGCTGGTGGCTCCTAGAGATTGCGAGAAAGGGATCTTTCCAGTTCCAAACCCTTCCTATCCTTTATCCCCACCCCATCAATTTTCAGGGACCTGTCTCGCAAGATACTGTTAAAGCAAGAAGTGGACTGCCTTCTACAACTGGGAGCAGTGAAGGAGGTGCCTTCAGGGGCAGGGGGTCTATTTCTATTATTTTTTCTTCCCAAAGAAGAAAGGGGGTGTCTCAGACCTTTAATGTCTGAACGAAGTAATTTTGTTTCAAGTTCAGAATGGTGACTTCCCTCATCAGAGCCTCAAGACTGGTTTGCAGCTCTTGACCAGCAAGACACCTAATCATCCAGCCCACAGGTAATTGCTCAGAGTCTTGGTAGGAACACAGTAGAGTATCCTGCCCTTTGGTCTTTCCACAACACCAAGGGCATTACCCAAATGCTTGGCAGTTGTGGCTGCTCATCTAAGGAGACAAGGAATCCAGGTTTGCCCACATCTTAACTGTCTGATCCAAGAAAGATCACACCAACAGGTGACCAACTTGAATCCAAGTAACCTTAAAGCTCTTTACCTTATTGGGTCTCAAAGTCAACAGAGCGAAATCCACACTGACTCAGACTCCAAGCTTAGCATTCATAGGAGCAGTGTGAGATTCCAGGTCAATGAGCTTACCTTCCCAGCTTCAAGCGCACACATGAGCATCCATGAGAACTTACCTGGGATTTATGGCCTCATGAACCTAAATGATATAGTTTGCCAGACTTCACCTCCACTCCATACAAGAGTGGCTGAAATCAATGTATCTACAGCAGGCATCACATAGACATAATGGTCATGGTCCCACAAGAAGCCCTCTTCTCATTAAACTGGTGGAAAGACCCTCTTCATGTGTGCAACCCCTTTGCATCTCTACCCACTGAGACTGTGAGGATGGACACCCTGGGGAGCTTATCTAGATCACCAATCCCCCACTACAATAACCTTGCAACCTCCCCTCCACACACACACACACCCCTCTTTAGGTCAGGACCCCTACAGTTACAACACTGAAATTTCAGATTTAAATAGCTGAAATCATGAAATTTACTATTTTAAAAATCCTATGACCATGAAATTGATCAAAATGGACTGTGAATTTGATAGGGCCCTAATTATGACAACAGACAAGGGGAAGCAAGAATGTCTTTGCTCAGTAAGGAGGGCATGCAGCTCTGGAGTTGGTGCATTTTGAATCAAATTGCACCACTGGCTGTGTACCTTCCCAGCCTTCAGAACAGCTTGGCAGATCAACTCGGTAGACAGTTCTCAGACAACTAGTGGTATAGTACATCTTTCACAAGTAGGGATTCCCAGAAGTAGATGTTTGCCCAGACCATGACAAGTGTTAGGCATTCTGTTTCAGAGCGGGGGCTTCAGCTCAATGGCCCGTGACAGATGCTTTTTTCACCCCTGGACACTGGGACCGATCTGTGCTTTTCTGCTGATCCCCACGATACAGAGGATTCTTCGGAACTGAGGCAAAAGGCAGGACTGAGGATTAGGATAGCCCTGGCATGAGCCAGGCAGTTCTGGTATTTGGATCTGATGAATCTCTCAACATAGCCACCAAGCACATGACTTGCTGTGGCTGACATGGTCTCACCGAACAATAGTCAGATCCGGCATCCAGACCCAGCCTCCTTACATCTGGCAGCCTCGAAAGAAGCTGCCCAGCTGGAGTTCAGAACAATCTGATCCACAGCAGAAAAGCCTCCGCTGGACTTATTTAAAGCAAAGTGGAGGAGGTATTCCAGTTGGACATTTCAGCACCCGCTTTCTCCCCTGACAACACCCATTTCAGCAATTATGGACCATCTATTAGCCTTGAAACAAGTTTGACTTTCTATCAGCTCCATGCAGCAGCAATAGCTGCACTTACAATATGACCCTGAATAGGAGTGTATATTCCCACCCTACAGTGGTAGGGTTCCTTAAGAACCCTCATTCATGTATTTCTCCCAGTTCAGGAGCTCCCTCCCCCTTGGGTCCTCAATATACTATTAGCAGGCTTGTTGGATTCTCCCCTCCCCTTCCCCCTTGAGCCAAAGCTATTTCAGAATTCTGGGTGAACCTATTCACTCATCTCCCAGTATTCTTCCCCAGGCCTCGCTCCACCTCCAGGGAAGCAAAACTTCACCCACTTGATGGAGTGAAGGGCACTGTTTCTTTACAATGATGGGACAAAGCCATACAGAAACATACCTAGACTGTTTGTAGCCTTTGTGGAGAGGGTCCTTTCAGGCTAGGTAAGTGGGTCTCCAACTGCATAAGGCCGTGTTATGAGTTAGCCAGGCTAGAGCCAGCCCCCTAAGCACATTAGAGGTCATTTCACTAGAGCTCGTGCAGACTCTGCTGCCTGCTTGAAGAATATCCCTATTTCTGAAATCTATAAGGCAGCTACAGGGAATGCAGTCCACATCTTTAAAAGACCCTATTCTTTTGTAGCTGTGTCCAGATGGAATTCCTGCTTTGGTAGGGATATCTTGCACTCACTTGTTTAGGTAGCACTCCTACTACCCACCTCTGAGCAGAGACAACTGCTTCCTATGGACAATCACTCAAAAGAATGGTTACTTACCTTAGAGTACCTGTGGGCCTTTGAGATGTGTTGTCTGTATGGATTCCACGAACTGCCCTCCTTCCGCACTGCTACAGAAACCTACTCCTCTGGGATTCTGTATTGGCAAAGAAACTGAAGGATGGTTGGATCCACTCCACCCTTTATGCCCACGGGTGGGGAAAATGCAAGGATATCTAAGGCATGGAGGCTCCCCCAACGGACACTGCTGCCTGAAAGAATCTGATCACATGCATAGCAAGAGTGGAACCTGTGTGAATAACGCTACTTGAAGAACCAGAGGTACAGTAATGTAACTTTATTTTTAATATGAAATACTTTAGTGTACTGCCAATTTATTAACCCAGCTTTGAAGTCAGTGGAGGCATGCCAGTTTACACCAGCTGAAGATTTGGCCCATGGGCAATGTTCTATGCTACACATTGTAACAACTTGTAGAATGTTTGCATTCTAAGAGTTAACGTTCTCTTTGCGAGTCAGTGTGTCCAGCTAGATGGAGCTATAAAGGCGTTTGCTTCCTTTCCTGCCTCTTTTTTGGCAACTTCTCCCCCCCCCCCCTCACTGCCCCAATTTGTATATGAATTGTAGGGCAAAAGTAAGTTTCACATTATGAATTTTGGAGAAGTAAATGTGGAATGTGTGTACGAAGTTGTTCTAAATTGTACATCTTTATAAACTCCATCTGTACATTCCAGAAGGTGAGTAACATGTTTAATACATATGGATGGTTACAACTTTCTGCAGTGATTTTAACGAACTAGAGCAGCTGTATGGCTGAGCAACCATACGTTAATTAATGATAAAGTTACTAATTGATATTTACTGTCTTGGTTCTGACTAAACAAGCTGTATTTAATACAGTTATTCTAATGTCACTATATAAAACCAATAGTATCAATAGATATAGTGTATTCAGTTTTCTTCCCACCCCATAAGTAAAAAGGACTAAAGAAAGGCAACAAGCTTATTACTATAGAGGGATAGAAGAGACTTTCATATGAAGATGGATTTAAGGCTTGTATTGCTTAGTTTAGAGAGGAGCTGAGCAAGAGGAAACATGAAAGAAGAGTATAAAATAGGTGATAGAGATTATCTAGGCCCTTCCAATTAACCTTTCTCATAATACTAGAATAAAGGGGACACACAATGAAATTGCAAAGGAAGCAATTTAAAATGGATTTTAAAAGAAATGTTTTATGAAACTTCTAAATTAGCCTGGGGAACTTGCTCCTGCAAGAGTCTACTGAGGGTAAAAAGCTTACTGGGACCCAAAAAAGGCTTAGGCACTTGTATAAATAAGAAGTTCCTCTGTAGTTATTCTAGATAGGATAAGAGTATTATCAACCAACCACCAACTCATTTTAGTGTTAGGAAGAAACTTCCCCCATAAGCGTGTTACTGCATAATTGGCCTTTATGGGGGATTTACATGTTCTGAGGCATGTGATACTGGTTGCCGTTGGAGACCAGTAATAGAATAGCAGACTACATCAGCTATTGGTGGATATAGCATGGTAATTCTTATGCAGCAGAGGCATATAGTCAAAAGGATACTAAGGACTATCATTCAAGATCCTCATAATTGAGTCAGACCAATGGTCCATCTAGGCCAGTATCCTGTCTTCTGACAGTGGCCAATGCCAGGTGCTTCAAAGGTAATGAACAGAACAGGCAATCATTGAGTAATCCTCCCTGTTCAGAGGTTAGAGACGCCCAGAGCATGGGGCTGCATCCCTGACCGTCTTGGCTAATAGCTATCGATGGACCTATCTTCCATGAACTTATCGAATTCTTTTTTGAACCACATTATAGTTTTTGGCCTTCTCAGCATCCCCTGGCAATAAATTCCACAGGTTGACTGTGTGGTGTGAAGAAGTACTACTTCGGTTTTTAAACCTGCTGCTTATCAATTTCATTGGGTGACCCCTGGTTCTTTCCTTATTCAATTTCTCCACGCCAGTTACAATTTTATAGACCTTTATGACATCCACACTTAGTCATCTCTTTTCCAAGCTGAAAAGTCCAAGTCTTTATAATCTCTCCACATATGGAAGTTGTTCAATACCTTTAATCATAGGAATATGAACATTAGTCAGTTCTTCAGATAACATCTGGTGAAACTTGCCCCTTTCTTTAAAATCTTCCTAACATTTAAACTATTTGTGGTTTGTTCCTTGTTTTGCTGAGTCGGAAATGGGGAGAACATTAAAGGCAGATGATGTGCTATTCAATTTACTACTCTGACATAACTGGTTTCAAGTGTTTTAAACCTTTTTAAATCTACTTTTTAGCAAACCCAGTTCTTGTTGGGTTTTTTTTCCTGTATTTGGCTTTCTGTTGCTAGTAGCTGCTAGTCAGCTCACTCCCTTATTCAGATTTTCACATATCTATAAGGGGTGGTATTAAATAAAAAATGTGCATATCTTTGTTGACTCATATATTTGTGACACCTTTGGTGCATATAATCTTCACCAGCTTCTGAACCTGGTCCTTTGCATCTGGATGCCATAATGTATCTTCACCACAATAATAGATTGTCTTTGTATTAATCATTCATTTCTGTTTCTTTGGAACAGGCAGACAGCATGACAAACCAGAACTCATTGCGAATTGGAAGTAGCTTACAGTTTTCCTGTCCAAGTAGTGAGTCCAAGATTCCACCTTGGCTGCAGTCTTCTGAGGATATGGAAAAATGCTCAAAAGGTAATGTTATTTAAGGAACTTCAAACTATTAGGTTATTTCAGATTTCCTGACTGTACCTGGAATTGACTGACTCTGTAAGGGCTGTCCTCGTGTAGTGTTTACGTCTGAAAATGATGGTGGTAGCTTTTTTTTAAGTGAATGATGTCCACATTTTATAGGAATAGTCATTTTCGAGTACTTCCATTTCTGGGCAGCCAACATGAGACCTCTTAAAGAGGCCTGACTTTTTCAGAAAGTTTTGGGCATCAATCTTCTGATGATCAGGCTTTGAGGTGTCTCAAACGAGGCATCCAGAAATTGAAGCATCCAAAATTACTAGCCATTTTTGAAAATCTGGGCCTTCGTGGACGTCACAAGTGCCAGCCATATTTACAGTCCAAGAGCTTGAGGTTCTTTTGAAGTTATTTCCCTGTAGAACAAAAATACATCAGGAGCAGTTTAAGCTTGCCCAATCAATATGCCTCTATCCTGACCTAGAAGGACCCACATCTAGGGGTGAGAAGATAGTACAGTCTCTAAGCCTGTGGCATCATTGCCCTCTCCACTAACGGGGCTGACTAATGCCAAACTGTGGTAACAATCTTTGTGCTGCTGACACCAATCTGTTACAAACTAGACTGCAAAGACAAGGTGAATCAAAGTAAGACTTTAACTCTGAGGTGGGCAAACAACGGCCCACAGGCCACATCTGGCCCACAGGACCGTCCTGCCCGGCCCTTGAGCTCCCAGCCGGGGAGGCTAGCCCCCAGTCCCTCCCCTGCTGTCCCCCTTCCCCCGCAGCCTCAGCTCACCGTGTCACCAGCGCTCTGGGCTGCAAGCTCCTGCCAGGCAGTGCGGCTGCCAGTCCTCATAGAATCATAGAATATTGGGGTTGGAAGGGACCTCAGGAGGTCATCTAGTCCAACCCCCTGCTCAAAGCAGGACCAGTCCCCAACTAAATCATCCCAGCCAGGGCTTTGTCAAGCCTGACCTTAAAAACTTCTAAGGAAGGAGATTCTACCACCTCCCTAGGTAACGCATTCCAGTGTTTCACCACCCTCCTAGTGAAAAAGTTTTTCCTAATATCCAACCTAAATCTCCCTCACTGCAACTTGAGACCATTACTCCTTGTTCTGTCATCTGCTACCACTGAGAACAGTCTAGATCCATCCTCTTTGGAACCCCCTCTCAGGTAGTTGAAAGCAGCTATCAAATCCCCATTCTGAGTGGCATGGTAAGGGGGTGGGGCGTGTGGGGGGGTTGGATGAGGGGCAGGGATTCCCGGGGGGCAGTCAGGGGACAGGGAGCAGGGGGTGGTTGGATGAGGGGCAGGGGTTCCCGGGGGGCAGTCAGGGGACAGGGGTGTGGATGGGGTCGAGGCAGTCAGGGAGCAGGAGGGGTTGGATAGGGCTGGGGGGTCCCAGGAGGGGGCAGTCAGGGAGGGTTGGATGGGTTGGAGGTTCTGAGGGGGGCAGATGGGGGTGGGGGCCAGGCTGTTTGGGGAGGCACAGCCTTCCCTACCCGGCCCGCCATACAGTTTTGGAACCCCAATGTGGCCCTGGGGCCAAAAAGTTTGCCCACCCCTACTTTAACTGCATGTAAAAAATTACATCCCATGTCTCCATTTCTTGGGAGAAACTGGAAGTATTTTCTCTTTCAAAACAGATCTCTCGTATTGTCACACATATTTAATGGAAATGAGCCAGCTGTTACAGAGCATGGAAGTTCTCCACAGGACATGTTCAGCACCTGCTATAAATGCCATGCAGGTCAGTTGTGAAAATTATTACGTCAGTGAAGTGGGAGGGGTGTCAAGGTGTTGTTTCTTCTTAGCAGTATTGTTTTATGACACCTACCATTATTCTTGTTCCCTGTGTTGTTAAAAGGGGGGACCTTTTGAAAGTCCAAAAAAGGAAAAAAGAATTCACAGGAGGTGGCGGCCTAGAGTTATTGGGAAAGATGCTAAAGGAATGTTGCAGGTAACTGGAACAGCCTCTTTCCTGCCCTAACCCAACTTTCTCAAAATACTAACCTGCTTATTGATCCTTTCTTGCTCTATCGCTTTTAAGGACATTTGAATCCTTCTAAATCAAGTAATATGTAAGATTGGATTTCACAGTGACTGACATCCATAGCAAAAATCCCATTGATTTAAAAGTGGCCAAGATTTCACACACGGTCTCAACTGACCCTCTGTTTCTGGGCCCAGAAGCCATTGCAAATCTTACAGTGCTGTTTAACTATCTGTTTACCTAATTGCTTCCAGAAATCATGTTGTTGGGGAGTAATAAGTTTAAACCATGGTACAACAATATTCTCTCCAGCACTCCCCAGACCAAAAATAATGTTTCCACTAAATTTTTGCCAAATCTCCAAGTTTGAAACCTTTGAGCATGTTCTTTCCTATTCTTTGGTTTGCCAAATGTACTATCCATGCAAAAAACTATTGCTGATCAACAGCAGTTCTTCCCATGCTGTTGTCTAAGGCCTGATTGTACATTGTCTGCAATGTAAATGTAAAACTTTGTCTTGTCATATTTTACCAATTGTAAATGTCCTCCATTTAGGTACCTACAGTATTTTCTGCCCCCATGCGACTGCATGCTTCCAATCCTAATTTATCTACAATAGATTTTGGGGAAGAGAAAAATTACTCTGATGGCTCTGAAACATCAGAATTTTCTAAAATGCAAGAAGACTTGTGTCACGTTGCACATAAAGGTGAGTGAGATTCTGTGTGTTTCTTGTATGGCTATGTGAAGTGTCAGCTAAAATAATAATGTGATACCTGAGCGTGGCTTATGTGAAAATTTGAAAGTCCTGGATAACGTCACTTCCCATCCCCCTGCTTCCCAGGATGTGACAGGCACTGAAATGCGCTGGGCTCAGGTCATCAAAATAGTAGCTTAACTGTTGAATTATTTTCTTTTCTTCAGAATTTTAGATTTGGAGCCAGAGTACAGTCTGAGCCCTGTCCAAGTCCAGAAAACGTTGTGGTTTCACAGTTAGAGCCCTGTGCAATGCAAAATGTGGATCCCACATCTGATCTGCAATCCGTGGCTATAAAGTGAATATCTGCAGATTTGCAGGGCTCTACATGTAATACATAAATTGAAACTCATTTTGTGTATACTTTTTTTAAAAGTTGATTCTTTTAAAATAGACTTCAGTTTTCCTTTAGCTGCTTCTCAGTTCATAGTACACTCCAGTGGTCTCTTTTCAAGGGCAGAACCCCATCAAACCCAGAGACCTCAGAGTAATAAGCCAGTTTGAATGGAATTGTTGGAATTTCCACTCCCCGTTGAATGATGGCGGCCTGCCTTTCCACCCAGTTTTGTGTGTAATCACTCAAGACTCTGTTATCCTGGGAAGAAGCAGTTGTTCTAAAATCAGTTTCTATAAATGCAGCAGTATATTGCTCCTGTGTGTGTGAGCGAGAGAGTACTAACTCTCTCGCTCATGTGCGTGTTTTCTCTCGCTTGCGTGTGCACACACAGTAGGCATTCAGGATGGTTTCAGTATTTCAGAGCTAACATTTGTTTGTGATGCAAGGGTTGCTATGGTAGTAACCTATTTTTAGTGAATACCAAAGAGTAAAATCTCATGGTAAGCAACCACTAGTTCAAGCTGCCACTGAACAGCCGTCTCTGCAAAAGCTCTTTTTTCCATAGCTATGCTTTGCTAACATGAAATAGCCAGCCAGTCTTTCTCTCTCTCTCTTTTCTCCCCCCACATCCCCACCCCACCATCTACTGTCACACCCTAGCAGTATCTTTTTATTTGGACGGTGGGGGGAGTAAGGAGAGTCCTAGTAAATAAGGCTGTTATGAACAGGAAATTAAATGACTTTTTTTTGAAGCATTCCACCATTCTCAGTGGTTTGAACATTGGCTTGCTAAAGCCAGGGTTGTGAGTTCAATCCTTGAGGTGGCCATTTGGGTGAAAAATTGGGGATTGGTCCTGCTTTGAGCAGGGGGTTGGACTAGATGACCTCCTGAGGTCCCTTCCAACCCTGATATTCTATGATTCTGTGATTAATAAGGACATCTCACAGAAAACCCATTTTCGCTGGCTATGCAGCAATGTTATCATAAACATTCCTCATTTGTTTTTCCCCTGTGGTGGAGGTATGTTTTAGATACTGTACTTACATAAGTGAACTCTCTTACCATTGAGCTTTGCAAAATCACATGTGGTCAAAATTAGATATGTTTTTTTTTTTTTAAATGCAGTAGCACCAAATAAGATGTTTTAAGAATCTTCTTCCTTGAGATAATCGTGGCAGAAATATTGCTCTCTTAGAAATGAAAATATACATCATGGCTATAGGCTTTATGCTCGAAACCCAAGTGCAATACCTATTTTTTGCTGGGGTGATTGTTGGCTCAGTGTCATTTAATGCCCTTTTGTGAAGGGTATATAATAATTTCTTAATGCTGCTTTATTTCGCGCTGCCTCATCTATACTTCTGAAATAGGAAAATAATATTTTGAATGGAGGAGAGGTTTGTTTTATCTTTTGTGAATTAAACAAAATGTAGCATTTAAAAGGCATAGTCTCTTTAATAAGTCTAAATATGTGCTGATACATCTCCTGGAGAGTAGAGAGAGACTTTTTTTTTAAGGCATATATTATGTAGTTGGAGATCAGACATGTCGTCATTTCAAAATTAAGAATTTGGGCAGTGAGAGTAAAATCAGCCTTTAGTTTCACATCTGAAGTAATATTTTTTGAGAGATTACACGAATACACATTCTAGAATGTTATCTAAAATGGTTCTGCCCCTCTGACTCTGAGTATATTCTCAAATAATATTTGAGGAGAGAAGAGTTCCTGTGGGAACTGCACTTGTAAAACTAGCTACAGCTGATATACTTGTCTTTCTGGTGCATTTCTCTAAAACATTTGAGAATGGTATAATGAATAAAAGCTGAGAACCAGAGCATGATGATGACTTACAATGCGGCATTTTAGCATAAGAGCTCAAGAATAGTTCCTACTCCTCGGGGAGTTTAGATACACCAGCTCACATATTTAACTCAATCCCCAGGTGGGTCGGTAGAGGGCCCATCTATTTTTCCATCTGCCAGAGGTAATCTCAGCTTACCAGTCAAGGTCTGGAATGTGGCCAAAGAGCTAGTACACTTCTCGGTCTGCCCTGCCTGTCTTGCTTTCACATATCTGGTTCCAAATGTCTACTGGCAGCCACCCTGAACTGTGCCTCAGTTTCCCCAGGTTTGATCCGTCCATTTCATCTGTAGTCTTGGTCACAGCCACCCTGAGCTAAGCCTCAGTTTTCCTAAACTTGGGCTTCAACTTCAGGTGGTGCCTTGGATGCAGCCAACTTTGACCTGTCCCTCAGTTCCCTCCAAAGGTGGTCCTCAGTTATGGCTGTAATCTAAGCCACAGCCGCCCTGAGATGTGCCTCCATTTCCCCAAGAGTGGTGTCAGTTATGGGTGGAGTCTTTGGCCACTGCCACACTGAGCTGTACCTCAGTTTCCCCAGTTTTTGTCACTGGCAGAGATGCTCACCATACTGCATGCCCCCTCCTTGCAGGGGAAGCACTGTGTCCTTTGGCCCTGTCCCTAAGCTCCTTCTCTGAGTTGGATCAAAAGTGTTTTTGATCTGTAGTATTCTGCCTGCTGGGGAGACCCCCCCACCCTCCAGGCATTAACTCTGCAGTGGGGGGAGAGCCCAGGCAGCCACCCAACCGGTCCCCTCTGCGGTATGGGGAGCCACTCAGTGGCACACCCATTGCCCACTCTGTGGTATGGGGACCTTGGTCAGTACCCACCACTGCAAGAGGCCACTCACCTTTCCTACTCTCGCTCAGCCTGCCCTCCCCCGCTGCACACGCTCTCATGTATGGATGAGGAAAACCCTCCGCCAAAGGAAAACAGCTGCCCTTCTCTGGGTCCTGCAGCTGCCTGTCACTGCTGCTACTGCCCTGTCCGACTGTGGTGTGATCCTGAGGTGACTTCAGCCAGTCCTCCACTGGGACCCTGCTGGTCACCCTGAGGCTCCTCTGGACCCCCAACGCCACATGGTGGGGCCCTGGCAGGCTCCTCTGCCGCCTCCTTGTTGCAGCTGCTACTGATGGGTGATTGAGAGCCTTGTGGTGTCCTCCTTACTGACTAGGAGGGGGAGGTCCCCTTCCTCCTGTGCCTCTGCACCCTCCACTGCCTGGGGTACCCTAGCTCTGCATCCTGTCTCATATGTTTAGGGATCCTCCCCCCTCCCAGGCCAATCTGAGGTCCCCCATGTGCTGGGTGGGGAGGATTCCCCACCCGCCCAATCTTGCCATGCTGCTGCGTCTGGAATTGGTGCTGTTGCTTCCAGCTTGATCCTGGTAAAAGGGCTTTTCTGAGGCTGCATGGGGTATAAATCACCCCATTGTAGGGCGGGGGTCTTAAAAGGGCCAGCACCCCTTTTCTTGACAGCCAGGCAACGACTGCCCACATGGAGGCTGTGCGGCACACATTGTAATACTTCCATTAGGAAATGCAGAATGGCTACATACAACTTAATGCAGTATTGAAGAAGGCTCATCACCCATGAGTCTTGTAGTTGTTGTATCCTATTAGGTTGACTACAACTTGCTGTTTGATGTTAAAATCCGATGCACCATCTGAGGCACACTGCGCATACGCTAAGAAGATTGCTCTGGTAATCTCATGAGGGTTGGAAATCAGATTTTGCACAGTGCTGTTAGAACACTACAGTCCATTTCTTTTAGACATGTGATAAATTATTCCTCTGCTCTTAGTAACCACTGTAAAATTGTGAGTGGGATTTCATAAATGGCTTCCGTAAGCTTTGCACTGCATATGGCACAAAAAGTAATTAGGAGTATGACTAGAGTATCTTCTCTACATCGTAACTATAGACAAAGATTTTCAAGTTGGGCACCTAAAATCACTGGTTTCTTTTGTAAATCTTGAGTGCAAGTCTCTGGGACCCAGTACCTGAGTCTGATCCCTTGGTTTTAACTCAAAAGACTCACTGACAGCATAGACAGAGCTGGCTGTACAGCACTATAGGTTTCCTCCCAGTAGGGGCTGAGCGTACAGCATTCCCTTTTGATGGTTACTGGGAATTGTGAATGTTCATTCCCTTTTATGATCAAGCCCCTTTAGGGCTTTTCTTCACTGCAGAGTAAACCTGGGCTCTTACTCGTGTGTTGCCCCAACATCTCTCCCATCCACACATACAAACCTCTAATCTGAGTTGGTGTTTTACACCCCGGCTAACTGGTCCATCCAGTGGTATAGGCTAAAGCCTGGGTTAAGCTTTCACTTGGGATGGTAACCTGTCCACTTTTCAGTGAGGACACAGGCTAAGCCAGTCAGGGACTGATTTTTCTCCAGTGCCTCCCACAATTTCCCCCATATACCCAGAAGGACAGACAAATTTTCCCGCGATTCACTGAGCAGTTCAACTTACTGCAGCGCTCAGAACCATGGGATGTGTGCCCAGAAGTCCCAGTGATACATACAGGTGAGTGCAGCACCAGTCTTGACTCAGTAACTTTGCAATACGATCACTCACACCTGAGCTAGGCTGACCCGGGTGCCGACTGCCCAAGATAACTCTGCAGTGAAGACATACTCTTGATAGAACTAGTTGCTTTCCTCTCCATTTACCTTTTCATTTGGCTCTGTCATCCTCACTTCTCACAGATCTTAAGCCCTCATCTACTCTGTGAGCATGTGAATGTAGTGTTGCCAACTCTCAGTTATGTGCAAGTCTCATGATATTTGGTCCTACCCCTAAATCTGCAGCTCCTGGAATCAAGTGAATAAAAAAGTACTGTATGAGAATTTCAGCAAAGTTTCTAGCCAACATGGTTGAAGAAAAGCTTGAAAAAAAATGAACCCATGTACCCCCAAAATCTCAAAAACCAGAAAGAAAATGAAAGGATTCCAGAATGTATTACTACTTGAAGTCTTATGCTTTTTAAGCTGATCTCATGAAATTTTTGGGGCCTGACTCATGATTTGTGAACACTTGAGGTTAGCAACACAGAGGTAGGAATGGAAATAGAAGTGTGAAGTTTGCATAGTATGCAAGTTACCTACTAAACAAATTCAATATCTTGTTGTTTGTTCCATTTAGTTCTTGTAACTTAAATGTAAATATCCCCACACAGATAGAAACAGCATGGCCCAAAACCACAGAGCCCTGTTCATGAGCAACCTATTAGCCTGTGCACAGTTGGATTGCTTCCCCTGTGAATCAGTTAGCACAGGTTAGCATGTCTCCTTGATTTTTCACTGGAAATGTTACTTATTCAAGGAATGCAGGATAGATCCTCAAGTGTTTGGAGGCTAAAACCATACTGAGGAAGGGAAGCAAGTTAATGTAGCACGTGCAGTTATAATGCTACCATTTATAATAAAGAATCAAAATACTTTGACTCTGAAAATACAGGAGCACAGAGCATTTGTCATATAATAAATACTTAATTTGCAATATTGTGGAAATTGCAGATCCCTCAATATTCGGCTTCTACCCAGGCAATTTTGCCAGCCCTCTGGCTGATGGCGGGAACCCTGGACATCCCAGACAGCTGGCGGCCAGGGCTCCCATTGTCAACCCCATACAGTGACTGTAATATAGTTTCAGCAAAATGTCTGGTTATCAAAAAATTTAGCAGACATAACATAACACTTGAGGGTTTATATTGTTCCAGCAAATTTGTCTTTTAAAAAAAAAGTGTCTTCTCTGGCTTTTCCAAATTACCACAATTAATAAAGATCCATTATTACTTTACTTTTTCTATGTCTTGTCCGTAACTCAGCAGCAATTATTTGACAATCATCCGCGATCCAAGTAGGGCCTTTATAAGGAGCATTTTTTCCTAGTAAAAATCCAGGTCTTAACCATTGGTTAACCTTGCCTATCTTTAGTGCTCTGTCCCCACAAGTCTTATTTCTGTCACTGTATATTAAGCTGCATTGAAATGTTGTTTCACAACTGGCTATACAACTGGTGGCATTTTTCTAACTGTCTACTTTTAAAAAAAATTATTTTAGCTTACGTCACCTTAAAGTCGGCTTTTAGTACAATCTCCGTTGAAAGAGAGAAACTGAAGCAGCTGCTGGAACATGATGCAGCCTCATCTCCATCTGCACAAATAGCTGGGTTGAAGAATGCCTTATCATCCGTAAGTAATATGTCGAGTTCAGTGAAATTCAGAGGGATTGGTTATAACAGTTCATAAGATCTCTCATTCTTCAGTATCTTGGGTTATATATCTTATTAATACTAAAGCAAACAGACTATGTATATGGTGTTTCATATAATCTGCTTATTCCAAACCTTGGAGGTGTGGATGTGCCCCTCAAATTAACAGGACATTACTGTGCAGAGTTAATCTATCAATCATGTATTTTATTAAGTATTGGAAATACTCTGTTGAATCAGAGCTGCTGTTTGACAGTGATCCAGAGTTACTATTTTCTCTAATTTGGTGCTTCGTACTATACTAACAGTACAAATGGCTGTTGGAAACTGCATAACCCGATGGATCATAGCTGTGAAATTATTCATAATCCTAGCTGTGAAATTATGAAGCCGTGTGGCATTATAAACAGAACAGTCAGAGAGCAGATTCTAATTTTAAAATTTCTATTTTATTTTTACCACCAAGGTGTGGGGAGGTTTGTATTACAGCAGTCAGGCATTGCACAACATGCTTTGGCCTAAAGTCATTTCTTGGGCGGCTGAAACCTTTGGCTGCCCCTGCTAAACGAATCGAAATGCAACTAAAAACAGTAGTTCTGCTTTCGCTAATGCTTGTTCATAGTTTTGCATTGATCAACTTTTTTCACTGGATTCTGGTGAAGAAAAGACTGCTATAAAATACAATCCCTGGTCTGGCACCAGCTTAGTCTCAGCAGTCAATTTGAGATTGATTTTGAGATTCCCACTCCCAAGACTGTTGGTGATCAAACTCCCAAGATTCACATTGGTTGATCTTCAGAGAGGGGAGAGTTGTCATTGCCTCTCTCTTAGATTGTAACTTATCTTGCAATCTTCTGGTTGGAGGCGGTGGGGACTCTGCTGTGGGTGAACTGATATAACTTGGTGCACAGCTAGAGTTAGCATAGGTGGTAACTCCATAAGCAGAGATTCTGGAAAGCGAATGGTAAAGAGTTTCTAGCTCATAGCATCTCTACTAGTCCAACTTCTAGCTGCCTCCTCTCTCCACAGAAATCAGAGGCAGCTGAAGCTTCTTGCATGCCAGCTGTGTTCATTTGACCACACCTTTCTGTTTGCTTCCCATGAGGCCTGCTTCTGAGAACTAGATAGGTCACAGCTGTACAAGCTGTCATTTTCCAAAGTTATTTTCTTACTACTTTTAAATCAGTAAGGGGAAAAAAATGCTTAGTTTAGGCTCTCTGCACAGAGTGGACAGTCAGTTAGTTGAGTGTGTAACCTTTTCCCAAATGGCTAAATATTGATCTTCAGATGCTTCCTCTTGGATTCCCCGTGAAAAACTCTCTGCCAGCTCCCATCCCCATCTGTTGCATAATAGGACTAAAAAAAGGGAACGCCACACTGAAAAGAGTGCTCCGTCTGTGAAGCTTTACACTCCTCAGCTCAGAATCCACTGTGAGACCTGTTCTCAGCCTGTAAAGCTAGAGAAAGTGATAGTGAAGCAGTAACCTGATCATCCCATGCAGCAGGGAATGTTCAGGAAGAAGCCAGGAGCTTTCTTTGCTGGCATTTGGAAGGGTGGATGTACATCAAGAGTGGAGCAGTTATGATCCAAGTACCAAAACTCTTCCTGGCTAAGATCTGCTTCTTTTTAAATAGAGCTCCAGTCAAAATCCCCACAGTCCTTACCAAGATGTTTAAAGGATTTCTGGGCAGCCTGAGTTAAGTGCTCAGAGTAGCAGGCTGTGAAGGTGATCAGGAAGATTTTAAAGACAGAGAAATCATTCTACTACTTTCTTCCTGGCTCTGGAGAGAGGGAGGCTGAAAGACAAACTCATTCCTATCTTATCCTGTAAAAGGCACTCCGCTCACAAACAAAAGGTACTCTCTCTTGCTGAGAAGGCAATAATCCTGTCCTTCACAAACAAACCAAGAGCAGCAAATAATCAAAGAAAAATCCCTCTCCTTAGGCTGAACGCTACAGGAAAGAGAACATTCTGCAGCAGACCATAAAAATCAGGAACAGGATACATAGGAAAGGTGTCGGTTTTTTCTTCCTGTCCATTGCTTATGTGGCACTGTAGATTAGTAATAACTAGTGCTGTTCATCTAGCTAGTTGAAGGGGAAAGATAAATACCTACCTTCTGAATTCAAACTCATTGATTCTTGGTGGTGTGTGTGTTGTTTTTCCCTCCTCCATCATTTCCTCTCCCCCCCCCCCCCGCCCCAATATAATCATGAATAGATCAGAGGAGGCATTTCTTTGGGAGAGGGGGGAGATGAGTAAACAAGATCAAGAAAAAAAAAATCTGGTTCAGGTCCTGAAAGAAGACTCAGTGATGGCTTCTGTAGCTGGGACCATGGTGCTCCCATCAGAAGGTGATTTTTCTTTCTAGTAAACACACTCAAAGAAAAACTGAAAATATGTTTAAGGACTCTGAGGCCTTCATCATCAAATATTGACACCTACTTGCTTCATGAGAGTGGTGTTGTACTGGTGCAATCATTTAAAAAATACAGACCTCTCATCAACCCAGAGGATTTTTTTGTCCTTTTATGGATAGTGTCAGTGTCCACATTTTTCATAAGACACTAAATATATATGCAATGTTTTTCACCCCCAGGGCTGTGGTCTGCAAAACAGTGGTTAGGGGAGGCTACCGTGGCTGAGACCATGGAAATCGGAGGGACTCACTCAAAAAGCCAATAATTATTCCTGTAAGCTTGCAGATGAAAGGTGGTTTGTCTGGTGGGCATTTCCATAATAGGGTTGTCAGGAATCCATCTGCACCTCTTCCTGGCTGAGAGCTGGCTCTTTTCAGTATATCTCCAGGAAACACTGGAGAAAGTGTTGGCAGGGAATATAGAAACATGCAAATGACCTTTTGTCAAATTATTCTAAGAGCCAGAGGAAATATTTCAAACCCAGTTACAGTAAGCAGTCCTTTGGCTGTATTCCTAGCAGAGATTTCCCCCAGAAGATATATGGTATCCAATAATGAAAATTCTGGAACAAGAACACCGGAGGCTGACCCTGTCTTTCCCCCTCCTCCTGACTAAAAAATCCTGCACAGTAACTGGAGAAGATGACTGAGGCTGAACACAGAATTGAGGGTATTTCTCTTCTTTGTGATCCAGCTGGTCAGCTTCAACAATAAACACCTGGGTCTGAGAAATTTTGTGGCAAGGATATGTGATAGTCCTCCTCCCAGCTCCCTCTCCATACTTCACTCAGCCCTGACAAGCATCAGACCTTCCAAAAGATAGATGGCCTATACTTCACTCAGGGCCATAGAACCTATCTGACTAGAAGAATCTCCTGGCACTGCTCCACCTTCTTCATATGGGAAGAGACCCAGGAGAGTGATGGTTATACTAAACCCCCAGTACCTTATTAAATGGATAAAGAAATCCACATTCAAAATAGGAAACTGCAAGATCAGCAGTAACTGCAAAATCTCCAGAGACTATAACTGGCAGAAGCATTTCCGGTTCTCAGGGGCGGTCATTATGAGATTGTGTTTCTCATACAGATTAGACCTATACCTGGACAAACCCCGAAAGGCTTCATGAAGCTACTGAGGGGCAGACAGTAATGAATTTTTGCCAGAGCAGAGCTCCTGTACCTCTGTTTGCTGCATCAGTTATGAATATAAAAAAATTGTTTGAGCCCCAGCACCTCTTCCATTACAAATTAAGCACTAGTGGCAGTCATTATTAAGCTAGGTTGTCAGGCCCCCTGCTCTATCAATTCCAGGATGAACCAAATCTCTTCAAGAATCCAGGGAACCAACAGCCAAAGCCTTAATTGTTCTCTAGGAGTACTGTATCCACCCAAACCTGAAGAAGGGACACTAAAAGAGACTGTCCAGCCTCAGAATGGAAATAGACACCACAGGAGGCTTCATAATACTTACAAACCAAGAGAGCAAGGGATAATCAGACTCCAGAATAGATCATGCAGATTCCCCAAAAGACCAGTTCTCGGACATTCAGACATGTCTCAAAATTTTGGGATCTGTGATGACGCAAGCTTCTTTTATACACCATTGCAATCATCTCTGTGCATCCGGTTCTCAGATGGATCACAGCCTGTTCAACCAGGTGAGTATCAGCCACCAGGGTTGAGAGGTCTCAGGCAACGGCACATATATGCAGAGGCCACCTAGCTATCCATGTCTGCATTCACCATACATTATGCAGCTGATGTACAGTCTTCCACATATGAAAGCGAGAGTGTCCAAGAGGCAGTCCATACATACGCTCCTTAAAATGACTTTAGTTTTTGGGTTGCACTATTATTTAGACTATATGCTTTTATTTGAGCCTGCCCTATCTTATTACTTATAGTTTGTTATTCCCTAGACATTTCAGGGCTAGTGGAAATGCTAAGAGCTAGAATTGAACATTCTTAGCTGAAAACTTCCTTTGTGGGGAATGGTGTGTCCACTAGTCCGTCACGCCCACTTAGATTACACTGTAGACTTCACATTTTATCCAGCATCAATGCTGCCTTTGTAACCTCTCAAAACTAATTTTATATAGTTATTTAAATATGTTCTATATGCAGTTTAAGGGAAAGTTTATTTCCAAGTTATCAAGTTTATTAGTGAAGTTGTTTAAAGATTTTTGTGTTGTAAATTCAGCTTCAGAAGCACTTATTTGGGAACTAAACAGGGCCTTGGCCAAAAAGTTGTGGCTTCCGGGTATTGAGTTTCAATGGCATGCAGTTTCTGCAGTGAAAGCACACACTCAAAAGTCAGGACTTAATGAAGGCTCTATTACCAGAAGGGTAAATATCGGGAAGGAAACGTTTCATAGTGCCTCTGCAAATCTTCTAATGTTTAATGTTTCCTTCCTAAAATTAACAACTCATCTTGTTTACGAAATGATGAGGGAATATTTGTCAGGGTCTTAGGCACCTGATATAAGGGGTTTGTTTGTTTGTTTTTTGTTTCATCCTGACTGAAACAAGTGAACTCACCTCCCCGTCTGTCTGTCTTCAGTATTTAAAAACTACCCACTCATGTTTAAATGTAAAGAAAACATTCCCATTTGGTACAGTGTCATTATGCTATATATAAGTGGTTTCTTTTCATAATAGATCACCTTTGTATTATTTTTTTTTATTATTATTATTTGAAGAGATATCTGCTTCTGAAATGGAGTATAGAATGGGGCATTCCATTATCACTGGTATGGAGAAATTTGTGTTTTAACTGTTAGTGAAAACTAATTTCAAAAATTAAAAATATATATAATTTCAAAATGTTTAGTAATAAAATATTTGCACTAAACAAAGTCTCACAATATCTTTCTCAGTTTGAGGGAGACAGAGCTAGTCCCATTAACTTCATAATCCTGTTTGATCTTGTGCAAACTACATGAACAAAACCTAATGTTGTTGAATTTAGGTGTTAAAATATGAAAAGTGCCTTTCCTCACTTTCACTTCTGTTCCCCAGTGTTCCAGCCACTCTGCCAATGGAACTGTCCCTCTGCCATCACTAGAGTTCTTGGAGAAACACGCTTGGCCTCTGGTGCATAAGGGCTGTCCTGTGCTCTCTAACACTGCTTGCTCCATCCTTGCCCAAGTAGCATAGTGTTTATAACCCACAGGTTCTGATGCAGCAGAAAGAAGTGGATTTGGGGCAGTTTTAGAGTAGCAAAGCCAATCGTATGGCTGCTCTGGGGATTACTTTTAGGGAAAGTGCCAGTAGTCTGGATGTGCTGTCAGTGATGCAGTGGCAAGCGAAGGGAAGTGTTTTATGTCGGGCTGAAAGGAAAATGCATGTTTCTAATTGCACAGCTTTATAGTTCTGGGGGAAATAGTTTGAATTAACAGGCATGATTAGACAGGATAAGTTGTAGAAGGGGATAGAGGAAAAGACCCATAAACTTTAAAAAACCAGCGTATAGCCTCTGGTGGCCTAAGATTTCCCATAGAATCATAGAATATCAGGGTTGGAAGGGACCTCAGGAGGTCATCTAGTCCAACCCTCTGCTCAAAGCAGGACCAATCCCTAATTTTTGCCCCAGATTCCTAAATGGCCCACTCAAGGATTGAACTCACAGCCCTGGGTTTAGCAGGCCAATGCTCAAACCACTGAGCTATCCCTCCCATCTCCCCATTGTGTTTATTTGAAGTCTCCCTTCCCTCTTCCCTGCCCCCCGCCCCCAAATACTCATGTTTGAGAGAGGAGCAATGTCTGAAGCATTTGTGATATACTAAATGCAGGACCAATAACAGGTCATGTATCTAGTGACCTTTTTTTCTTTTTTCTGCTTCATTCAAAGTTTTCTTCTGCTCCTTTTGCACAATGAAGCCACTGTCTACATTAGCTAAGAAAACTTTATAGCCACAATACTTTTTGTTAAATGTTCCAGGCCATAGCACAAAACACAGATCTTAAAGACCGGTTACGCAGAATACATGCCGAGTCTATGCTCCTTGATTCAGCAACTAATGCAAAATCAAGTCCCAGTTTGGTGAAGGTGGGTATGGATTTCCTGTTTCAGTGGTGTCTGTTGCTACAAACCCTTACACTTTGACTGTTGCATAGCTGCGTACTGTCTTGTTCCTCTGTTCCCCATGCAGTGAGTTGTATTAGCAAAAGGAGCTCCTCTTCCCTCATGTGTGTGGCTCACATGATGTTGCATTGTGCAGTATTAATTTAGAACAGTTTTTCTAAACACTTCCATTGCTTTTTGCTGGCAGGTCCTTTGTTCTCCTTCTGTTACTTGCCCCTTGCCTTAGGCATGAGCAAAGTCACCCCATCATTCTATCTGGCATTATTTTCTCTCAACGCTGTCTGTTCTCCTTGATCATTCTTGTGTTCCCTAGTTGCTACTGTCACCCGTATAGCAGCTTTAACACAGAACCCAAGTAATTGCAGAAGGGGAAGGGTAACTTTACTGTAAAATACATTAAGTATTGTACTTTGGGTGTATTTTGTTCTATTGAATTTGGTTTGACTCCTTGTTAGTACAGAACATCAGCTGCCAGAGTGTTTCACTCAGGGCTAGTTATATTTTTAGATAAGTGCTAATAACTTGCAAAAATAGGTCATTCTTCTAGTTTAAAAAAAAAAAAGCAATGGAAAAATGAGATATATGAGCAGTTTTAGCAATTCAGTTTTCCTTGTATGTAGCTAGGATGTCCCCTACATGTCTCAAATGTCACTTATAAATAAAAAAGTTACCCCTTGAAGGAAAGAGAGAGAGAGAGTGTGCGTGTGTGTTCATATTCTGTTTCTGGTGGATTTCCTAAACGTTAAATCAAAGAAACTTCTGTAGCAATTGTATAGTAAACGTTTCATTAGAAGTTGAATGGGAGATTTCATTTTGTTTCATGTCCTCTGTAAAGTATTAGTTAATTTCCTTTATTTAAAAAAAATAAATTATTCATTTATTCAGTTAATTCAACTGTCTTGTGTACCATTTGAGCTAGATTTTGGTCACACTTGTAGATTTTAAAGTGTAATTGATTGTGCTAGTGGTCTTTGCTTTTTATCCCCTTGAGAATTTGAACAGTGTTTCAAAAATGTATAACAGATCTTCTGGATGTTAGCTTATCTCAGACCAACTCCTAGTCTTGAAAAGATTTTCTTATTAATACATAAAAGGCCTTGCCATGACAATGGGTCAGTGCTGAAGCAATGTATATACCATGCAGTACATGCCTAAATTCATAAAGAAAAAAACCTTTAATGTTTCATTCACAAACTGTCCATAACTTGGCTCAGGATTTATCTTCGTTAGCTCAAGGACCAAGGCACTTACACTGGACCTGTTTCATTCTAGTTAAATGTGTTCTGGAAGACTGTTAGAGCAGTGTACTCTAGAGCAGTGGGAGTGGTGAGAAAGAGAAAGGGCCACTATACAAAATTTGATTTAAGTGCACTCAAGGATACTATTACTTTGCCATTCCAAGCTTCCTGTGTCATTTTTCAGGGTAAATCTAATTTATTTGGAGGGTGCTAATTGATTTTATCATGTTGAAAAGTATTGAATTTTCACAGGATGGGCAACTTTATTCATCCTAACTCTCTTGATGCCAGAAATTGGCAGGATGTCTTTCTTAAGCTCCGGTTGCACTCTGGCCATGGTTATACTCCACAAATATACTACTTATTTTTACTTTGACTGTATGATGTCACAGGGCTTTGACTCAGCGACAGCTTCTCTCTGCTCTCTACACTCTCCGGTGTAATCATGGCACTTTGGTAACAAATTATGATGATAGATCCTGTAGACATCAAACCAGTGTGTGGGAAGGGGCAAACCTAGTTCAAGATTTAGGGTAAAAGTTTAGTTTGTCCGTATAGCAGCTCATGACTTTACTTTATTGCTCATCTTGGAGTCTTATGAAGTAAAGAAGAGAAAATAAAACTCCCACATAGTAAATTGTAAGAAACTACCAGATTCTCAGATGGGACTAATTAGTTCATCTTGTTGCTTTTTAATATTGTTGTCCGTCATATACGCAATCCCAGGAACAAGAGTTCTCCTGTAAGATTTAGATTATTAGATACCTTCCTCCTCCTGACAAAGAAGAAGATTATGAAGCTTTAAATATTGTGAAGTCATACCTTTTTTTTTCTTCTTCTTCTTCTGTTTTATCACAATTTGTATAAGAAAAATCAGTGCTGTTTTTGGTATGTTAGTTCACTGATCTTGTACAGAATTTCATAGCACAGGAGAATCTTATTGACTGGCATAAGCTCCCTTGGAAATGCACCTCAATTAAGCAATCCTCCAAATTCATCAGAGCATCACGGATATGTGGCACTAGTGCACTTCACTTCCTTAAAGCATTGCTTTAAAATATAAAGCACTAAAACAGTCTATTAAATGTAAGAGATTTGATTATTAGAACAAAATAGGGAAGCTGCAGAATGAAAACGTTATGCTGTTAAACACCTAGAAACTATTGCAAATATGTCTGCAGATAACACTGGGCTAGCTAGTGCTTTTTATCCTCAAAAGGAAGATCAGCTCAAAAGAAACAAACGAAGAATGGGGATTAATGAACTATGGCAGGGAAGTTTGGGTAAGCAGGACAGGGTTTGTAGCTGGAAACAGATTTGGCATCATATGAAGAGGAGTGGAACCACCTCAAAAGATCATGGATTGTGGGGGTGGAAGAGGTTTGTGGACAAGGAAGATGGGGTGCAGGAAGGGAAGAAGGGAGAAAGAGAAGTGGTGGTGGACCCCTGAAGTGCAGGTGGCAATCCAAAATAAGGAAGTGGTGCATAAAGAAAGAGAAACAAAACATAGAATATCAGGGTTGGAAGGGACAGCAGGAGGTCATCTAGTCCAACCCCCTGCTCAAAGCAGGACCAATCCCCAATTTTTGCCCCAGATCCCTAAATGGGCCCCCTCAAGGATTGAACTCACAACCCTGGGTTTAGCAGGCCAATGAGCAAACCATTGAGCTATGCCTCCCTCCGTCTGTTGCTCCCTGTAAAATGAGCTTGTAAACGACCCACAGTTGGCTGGCAAAAAGACTACTATAGCATTACAAAAATGAGACTCAGAGGGAAGGAATATGGTGCTGCAACACCATTTGTAAATGATGACTAGAGGAGACTGCTAGTAACACCCGAACAAGCAAAGGAGAGGTGGAAACAATACTCTGAGTCTTTCTGAAATGAGGCGAACCCCTTTCAGGTGGAGTTGCCCGCATCTGAGCCTAATGTGGTGCTTGAGCCTGACATAACGGAGGGAGAGGTGAGAAATGCAGTCTGGAAAATGAAGAATGGTAAAGCAGTGGGACGTGATGAGGTGACCGTGGACCTGGTGAAAGTCTTGGGTTAGAGAGAGGCATAAAATAGATGAGCAGAGTGACTAAAACGGACTGGTAAGACAAGAGATTCCCCCAAGATTGGTGCAAGTCTATCTTGATCCCAGTATATAAGAAGGGAAGCATCTGTGAATGTGGAAACTATTAAGAATTAAAGTTACTGTTGCCTGGGATGATGGTACTGAAACATATCTTAGATGCTAGGATTAGAAGATGGTGGAAGCCATCCCCATATAAGAACAGTTCAGCTTCAGGAAAGGATGAGTAACCACAGATACCACAGATGTTTGTCATTCCGCAATTGATAGAGAAGGGGCTAGAGTACCAACAGGATCGCTCCTGGGCTTCTATAGACCTAGAAAAGGCACCTTATAAAGTGGACAGAAGGATACTCATACCAGTGCTGAGGAAATATGGAGTTTCTCATAATTTAATATCTATGGTGCGTGCACTGTGTAGATTACCCAACATGATCCAAACATGTTTTGGAGCGAGCTCCTTTTGAAGTGAAAGTTGGACTGCATCGGGGGTTGACCCTCAGTCCTCTCCTGTTTACCATATTGATGGACGACATCAGCAAAAACATCCCAGTGGGAAAAAGTGAGAAGCTACTTTATGCATGGTATGACCAGCTAAGCGGTCATACTAGTTTCCATCCCATGCCTAAGACTGAAGTCACTTGGGTCAGTAAAGTGCCACAGGGAAACTGGATATAAAGTTTAATGGAGTACCATTAAACCAGTCTGGCCAATTCAAGTAGCTTGGCGGCTGTGTTAAGGAGATGGCAAGCCTGAACGTGAGATACAATCCAGACTGGAGAGTGCTGGGAGTATGTGAAATAACATCTCAGGGGTCGTGAATGACAAGCACATGCCACTGAGACTAAAAGCCTAATTGTATAAAACTATGGTGTGCCGTGCAGTGCTACGTGATTCAGAAGCATGGGTTCAGGGCCAATATCTACAGGTGTTTGAAATGAGATGTTTTCACGCAATAAAGACAGGTTTCAGAATAACAGCCGTGTTAGTCTGTATTCGCAAAAAGAAAAGGAGTACTTGTGGCACTATAGAGACTAACCAATTTATTTGAGCATAAGCTTTCGTGAGCTACAGCTCACTTCATCACCTACTACAGGACAGGCCTAACAAAGAAAATAACAGAACGCCACTAGCCGTCACCTTCAGCCCCCAACTAAAACCCCTCCAACACATTATTAAGGATCTACAACCTATCCTGAAGGATGGCCCAACACTCTCACAAATCTTGGGAGACAGGCCAGTCCTTACTTACAGACAGCCCCCCAACCTGAAGCAAATACTCACCAGCACCCACATACCACACAACAAAACCACTAACCCAGGAACCTATCCTTGCAACAAAGCCCGTTGCCAACTGTGCCCACATATCTATTCAGGGGACACCATCACAGGGCCTAATAACATCAGCCACACGTCCACCAATGTGATATATGCCATCATGTGCCAGCAATGCCCCTCTACCATGTACATTTGTCAAACTGGATGGTCTCTATATAAAAGAATAAATGGACACAAATCAGATGTCAAGAATTATAAGATTCATAAACCAGTCGGAGAACACTTCAATCTCTCTGGTCACGTGATTACAGACATGAAAGTTGCGATATTACCACAAAAACTTCAAAACCAGACTCCAGCGAGAGACTGTTGAATTGGAATTCATTTGCAAATTGGATACAATTAACTTAGGCTTGAATAGAGACTGGGAGTGGCTAAGTCATTATGCAAGGTAACCTATTTCCCCTTGTTTTTTCCTACCCTCTCCCACCCCCCACCCCCCCAGACGTTCTTGTTAAACCCTGGATTTGTGCTGGAAATGGCCCACCTTGATTATCATACACATTGTAAGGAGAGTGATCACTTTAGATAAGCTATTACCAGCAGGAGAGTGGGGTGGGGGGAGAGAAAACCTTTTGTAGTGGTAAAACACCCATTTTTTCATGCTTTGTGTGTATAAAAAAATCTTCTATACTTTCCACAATATGCATCCAATGAAGTGAGCTGTAGCTCACGAAAGCTTATGCTCAAATAAATTGGTTAGTCTCTAAGGTGTCACAAGTACGCAATAAAGAGTCACACAAAGAGGAGATTGACTTCCATTCTAATGCTTTCATTTTGCAAAGTCTGTGATGTGGCTGGCAAAATCCAGGAAGCACAACTTTGCTGGTTTGGATACATATAGATGGTGAATGAAGAGGGCCTGGGGAAGATAACATAGCAGGAGAGGGAAGTAGGAAAAGAGACCCTGAGGAAGCAATGGTTGAATTGCATCAAAGAAGGTGGTAAGCAAGTGGACATTGGTGTTGCCTTGGTCAGACGAAGGTGGTAGATGCTTGCAACACAACGCTGCCCCGGATGATGGAATAAGGGGAAGATGTGAGCTATTTACTGTGTGCTCAGTCACTAAAACTCATTGCACTGAGTGTGTTCCCTGACAGTTACCTAAGCAGGGGCAGCCATTTATTAGGCTACCAGTTAGTTAAGTAGGTTCTACTATATTGGATCTTACAGTTAACATAGGCATATGCAGAATGAAACTGGAGGGCAGTAACGTGCTCAGCAAGCCACCTTGTCCTTCTCCCCAGGAGCTGTGGAGGTGTTAAAGAACAAGGACGCTTGTTCCTATCCACTTCTTTTCCCTCTCTATACCCAGTAGATAGTCCAAAATAATGAATCTCTTGGTGCTTCTCCTGCCATCACTAGCCTGCCAACAGCGTCACTGTGCCAAGTACACAAAGACTGTTTAAGACTTGTTGTGGTCTTAAATCCCCATTATAATGTATAAACTCTGCTATGAATCCCACAGCAAAGGCTATTTCCTTTAAGTAACCTTGGTAATATGATATTCTACATTAACAGGGGGTGCTGCACATGAGGACTGGGTGCAGTACTACTGCTGCATAAGTGGCCTAGCAGCAGGAAGATAGCTAGGAAAGAAAGACCTTCATTTAGAATACTCTTTGGCTCCCGTAAATCTTTGTATGCCAATTCACTGAACATCTTGTGTTTTAAACAAGGCTTGGGAGGAAATAAATGACAAATTTGCAGAGGCTAGGGGAGAGTCTTACATTTAGTGCCATATCCATTACAATCAGCCAGGAGTTTTGGGGAATGATGGCCTACATCCTACAGATGGAGATGCTGACATATGGCTACAATACATTCAGGCGTGGATTGGGCAGGGGTTGTGATACTGACCTGCATGACTGGGTGGGGCTAGTTGCTGGCACCCCCTGTGGCTTTTCTAGTGCAGTTAAGAGAATCAAATGAGGCGTTCCCAGAAGTAAAAGTCTTGGGATTTTGGTGATAGACCTTGGGCTCATGTAATAGGGTGAGACCTTGTGGGCTGAGGTCCCCACCTTGCTGCAAAGTCCCTCCCCCTTGTGGTGGGGAGGCTGCTAGGACTCTAAGAGAGCCGCCTCCTTGGTGGGAGGGAGGAGAGGGGAGGCTGAGGAGAGAGCTGCCCCATGTTGTGGGTTATATGGTAAGGAGCCCTGTAACCCTGCACTGGAACCAATTAAGTGCCTGCTATAGAAGAGTCTGTGTGATGTGTGGCTGATGCCCCTCCCCTGTGTTAAAGTTTAATAAAAGTTGTGGCCTGCCGCTTAATTCCATGCATATGTCTGTTCCCATTTTGCTGTTGTGTCCACATCAATAAACGGAGTTTTTGTAGTTGCTTTCCTTTCATGGGGAAACTATGTACACGCATGCATTTAGCTCAACGGATCACTTGACTGTTACAACATTTTAAGAGCTGTTCTTGAAAAAAAGATGCATATGCAAGAGCAGTAACTAATTCTGCAAAATACACATTACTGAGCTTCACTTTGTCATTTGTGTGTCTGATTCTTCTGCACTTTGCTGCTTGTCCCCTCTTTGAAATGCATGCTTGCTACAGTAAACTGTGCAGGGCGCATGCGTTCATCTGTGGCAACGTTTAAGCCCTCTCTCTGAGTCGTATATCTGTTGGTTTGTACGTACATGTGCACTTTGCTCTTACCATACTTTTCCCTAAAAGCCTTTTATTTATTTTAAACAGGAAAATTCAAGAGAAAGAAGCAGAAACCTGGTTCACCAGCTCTCCAGTGAAAGTAGGCTGTCTGTCACGGACTCTCTCTCAGAGTTTTTTGATGCTCAAGAAGTCCTGCTGTCTGCAAGTTCTTCAGAAAACGAGGTCTGAGCACAAATATCAGAATATCTCTCTGATGTACCGTATTTCAACATATTTAACCTTTTATCTTTTTTGTGTGGTAATTGCAAACTTGCTGATCTACTACAAATGAAATATTTTGGAGGATTTCAACGTCACATACACTTAATTGTTTGCTACTCTCTTAAAAAAATAAAACAGTTAAAAAGTATGTACGGGAGGTGGCTGAAGAGGGAGAACAGGCAACGTAGCTTGCACACCTGATTTTAAAATAAATATAAGGAATGTATTTTTGCAGCATCTGTCCTGAGTCATCCTACAGGAGCTGCAAGAAATTTTATCAAACTATTGTGTAGTTGTACGTTTTTTTTCTTGTGGCACCTGTAGGTTGACCTATGGCAGATGCTACTGCAGCATGCAATTTTAAACTTTGTTTTCTATTTCTTGAAATATAAGAAAGTCTTATAAGTCTTTAAGTTTTATAAGCTTTTTGGAATTTCATGAAAGGCCTCTCTCTAATTTTTCAGGATCAAAGAAAACAAGTTTTATATTCAATAAAATAATAATTTAGTAATGATTTATGAAATCCTTTTAGTGATGGATCTGTGATCTGTACACCTATTTGTATTGTTAGGCTTACCTGTTGCTTCTATGCAGCACAGAAACACAGAGAAAACAATACAGATCTCTTTAAATGACGGATCTTTTTTCTGTTAATTTCACAAAGCATCATAACAGTTGTCAGGAGTAGCATAATGCAAACTTATTTATATTATTTCCTTCCCCTGCCCACCAGGTATCCGATGATGACTCATATGCCAGTGATATAAGTGATAACATCTCAGAGGATAACCTAAGTAACGACATTGAGAATGGAAGGCAAACTTTGGGTAAGATTGGTGTTTTGTTGTATCCTATTCTGAGAAGAGGCATTTTCTTACCAGAAATCTCTCTGGTATCACAGATTTCAAGACGTAGACATTGGCTAGTTTTTGCTTTCCTTTTAAGATTTGAACTGTTTTTGGAGTGGTGTTTTTGTTGTTTGGATACTCTTAGTGCAGTCAATTGTGCTCTGATCATTTTAAGGTGGGAGGGTTGCTGTGTATCAGCATAGACACTTGTCTGCTGTCTGTCACCTCTCTGCAGAGACCTGCAGCTGCTCCCAAGCTTCTTTCCATGACCTTGGGACCCTATGGAGTAGCTAACCCCAGGTCCTATCTCTTCACTAAAAGGTAGATATTTTCTCATCACTCTGGATCTTCAATACAAACTTGTACCCTTAGATACCATTCAAATCCACAGAATAGTTACGGTTAACAAAATGCAGCTTATTTAAAGAAATGTAAGAATAACTCTACACTGATAGGCCTGGTGTATGACCATAGTACTTTCCTCTTCTTGGTTTTGTCTACACTAGCACTTGTCAGCAAAACCTTTGTCAGAAAGTGGTGTGAAAAAACACAACCCTGACTGACATGAGCATCTCCTGCCAACGTAGCTACCGCCCCTCTTTGGGGGTGGTTTAATTAGGCCAGCAGGAGAGCTTTCTACTCCCGGCATAGAGTGGCTACACAGACCTTACACCAACGCAGCTGCAGCGGTACAGATGTGCCGCTCTAAGGTCTGTAGTGCAGATGTAGTCTTTGTGTTTAGGGCTGTCGATTAATCGCAGTTAACCCACACTATTAACTAAAAAAAAATTTAATTGTGATTAATCGCAGTTTTAATCGCACTGTTAAACAATAGAATACAATTGAAATTTATTAAATATCTTGATGTTTTTCTACATTTTCACATATATTTTATTCTGTGTAGTAATCAAATTGTATATTTTTTATTACAAATATTTGCACTGTAAAAATGATAAACAAAAGAAATGGTATTTTTCAATTCACCTCATACAAGTACTGTAGTGCAATCTTTGTTGTGAAAGTGCAATTTACAAATATAGATTTGTTTTGTTTTGTTTTTTGGTTACATAACTGCACTCAAAACAAAACAATGTAAAACTTCAGAGCCTACAAGTCCGCTCAGTCCTACTTCTTGTTCAGGCAGTTACTAAGAGAAACAAGTTTGTTTGCATTTGTAGGAGATAATGCTGTCCTCTTCTTATTTACAATGTCACCAGAAAGTGAGAAATGCCATTTGCATGGCACTTTTGTAGCCGGCATTGCAAGGTACTTATGTACCAGATATGCTAAACATTTGTATGCCCCTTCATGTTTCGACCTCCATTCCAGAGGATATGCTTCCATGCTGATGAGGCTCATTAAAAAAAATGTGTTAATTAAATTTGTGACTGAATTCCTTGGGAGAGAATTGTATGTCCCTTGCTCTGTTTTACCCACATTCAGCCATATATTTCGTGTTCTAGCAGTCTCAGATGATGACCCAGCACATGCTGTTCATTTTAAGGACACTTTCACTACAGATTTCACAAAACGCAAAGAAGGTATCAATGTGAGATTTCTAAAGATAGCTACAGCACTCGACTCAAGACTTAAAAATCTGAAGTGCCATCAAAAATCGGAGAGGGATGAGGTGTGAAGCATGCTTTCAGAAGTCTTAAAAGAACAACACTCCAATGTGAAAACTACAGAATCTGAACCACCAAAAAAGAAAATCAACCTTTTGCTGGTGGCATCTGACTGAGATAATGAAAATGAGCATGCATCAGTCTGCACTGCTTTGGATGGTTATCGAGCAGAATCCGTCATCAGCATGGACGCATGTCCACTGGAATGGTGGTTGAAGCATGAAAGGACATAGGAATCTTTAGCGCATCTGGCACGTAAATATCTTGCGACGACGGCTGCAACAGTACCATGAGAATGCCTGTTGTCATTTTCAGGTAACATTGTAAACAAAAGGCGGGTATCATTATCTCCTGCAAATGTAAACAAGCTTGTTTGTCTGAGCGATTGGCTGAACAAGAAGTAGGACTGAGTGGATTTGCAAGCTCTAAAATTTTGCATTGTTTTATTTTTGGATTCTGAGTGTTTTTTATACATAATTCTACATTTGTAAGCTCAACTTTCATGATAAAGAGATAGCACTTCAGTACTCATATTAGGTGAATTGAAAAATACTATTTGTTTTTTACAGTGCAAATACTTGTAATCAAAAATAAATATAAAGTGAGCACTGTACACTTTGTATTCTGTTATATTGATTTCAATTACATTTGAAAACAGAAAACATCCAAAAATATTGAAATAAATGGTATTCTATTGTTTAACAGTGTGATTAATCGTGAAATTAATTGTGATTAACAGTGCGATTAATTGTGATTTAATTTTTTTAATCACTTGACAGCCCTAATTGTGTTCATTTAAATATCTTGCTGATTGCATGGGGACCTTGCATTTTTCATTCAAAATAATGATTCTTTTTAAAAAAGAGAATGGGAAGAAATACATAAAACCAACATCATATAAATATGCTTTTCTCTTTTCCTGGACTATGGAAAGCTGCACTAAGGAGTTATTTGGTTACAAGGGTTAGAGGCTGGAACTATAACTTTCGTATTAGAAGTTCTGTGCATGCCGAGTTCCTGGTTCCCTGTTCTCCCTCTGCCACTTCAGCTTAAATCAAGATTGGATGTCTTTCTAGAAGATACGCTTTTAGCTGAACCAGAAGTTATAGGATTGATACAAGAATCATTTGGTGAAATTCAGTGGCCTATGTTCTGCAGGAGCTCAGACTAGCTGATCATAATTGTCCCATCTGCTCTTAAAATCTAGCTCTCAAGACAGCTCAGCATGTCCGTGATCTTCCGCACTGTGTAGCAAGACCATCTGTTACAGCTCTAGGAAACCATCACCAAATTTTTCAAATGTACACTCCTAAAGTTAGACACTGAAAGAAGCTTCCTGATTATTACAGGTGCTCAACACCCACAACTCTAAATGAAACCAGCGGCCACTGAGAAATCTGCACTTCTGGAAATAGAACATTGTATGTAGGCACCCAAAGTATGGATGTAAGTGCCTAACTGAAAAAGCTAGCCTTGGTGTCAAGCCTCCATTAGCATGGTTAGACTAGACATCTGCTGTTTATCTCGGATTATGTATGCCCTGATGTATTTACAGCTGTTGATATTGCTTTTAATAGGCCACATCTTTGGTGACTTCCATGGAGCTACAACAGCTTACACCAGCTGAGGATGTAGCCCAAACTATTTAGTTCAGTTGCTTAGTCCTTGCTATGCAATCTGAGGGTTTCAAAGGGTGTGACTGCACCCCATTTCAAAGAGCTGTTTTGAACCAGAATACATTTTTATCACTTTTGTTGCCTTTTCAAAGGAGATCTCCTCCCTGCTGGGGTCTAGGAAAACAGCTTCCTTTTGGGCTGAGTCTTTTTCTTTCTTTCTTTCTTTCTTTTTTTTTTTTTGGATGTTAATTGTCTTCCTCCCCCATGGGAAGGTCTGAGTCAACCTCTTTCTGAAAGGGAAGTCATTCAAGTATGTTAATTGTTTTCTTACCCCAGGTGGGCTCTCAAGTTCAGGATGCTTGCAGTCTTTTACGCAAACTAGCATTATGACAGATTGCATGTAGGCAGGAAAATAATGTGCAATAAATTATAATTCACCTATTCTGTGTTGTTTGTCATAGCTACCATGCAGGGATGAGAGTTCAAACTCTTAGTCCTTCATTCTTGGGTAATCAGTGTCTGGGAGAACCGCAGAGGCAGAGCGCTCTGGGCAGCGCTGTGACTGTGTGCATTGGCAACTTTCTGGAAGTTCACTGGTGCCCTTAAAACAGTGCTGGCAAAGTTGGCAGCAATAGCGTAGCCCAGCCAGGTGCCACTTTTCTACAGTGTCATTTTGGCATGGTCTAAGCAGAGTTAGACAATGTAATGTAGATGGCCACTATATTTTTACCACCCTCTCACCATTGCAGGCACCAGTGGAGTTTTACTGGTGTTAGTACAAAGTGGGGAACTTTTTTAAAAATGGACAAACTCTATCTTCATGGGCAATGCTTTGCAGGAAAGTGTAGACAGACTATGGAGGCAGTCGTATCCATCCCTCTGAGTGAGACGTGGCCTTGAAGACTCATGTGGGAAAGACAACATGGAAAAGGAGGAAATGATGTACTGAGGCAGCACCCAAATGTACCAGGATCAGAGATGGGCGCTGTAGAAACAAATAGACGCTGTTCAGGGTGATTGATTGAAAATAAGCTGGTGAGATAGTGGGAGGGGTGAGAGGAGAATATACCTGATGATGGTTTAGACAAATAGGGTGAGGATATAGCTAATCCAAGTATTCTACTCAGGCCAGTTCATGTTGTGACACACTCTCTGGGCTAAGGCTTATCCCTGTGGTGTGGTTTTTATTTAAAATCTATCTCAAGTCATTTACTATAAAACTTGGAACTATTTATCGTGCCCAGATTGCTCTGACACCCCAACACAGAGCTCAGCCGTTCTCTTGGATGTGTGAGTTATCCTTTTGAATGTCAAGTAAACTCATAGTCCTCCTGTGGCCTTCTCCAGCACATAGGTGTGTCGTGAAGCTAAATTCAGTAATGTTTGTGAGGTATTTGGGTACTTGGATGAGCATCATGGAAAAGCCTGCCAACAAATATCTGGTGTTTGCCTCCAGCAACAGATTTTTCCTGATATGAGGAGTCTATTAATTCAGTATAAAGAGATGAAGGAGGAGGTGTTTTCACACTTGGGTTCTGGAAAGCACATTTTTGTCTTCTAAAAAGAATGTCCGCTTAATTGAAGATCTGTCAGGAAGGCGTTTTTTTGTTACTTAAATGTACATGAATCAGTCTCTTGTAAAACAAGATAGATATCATATGTGCTCTTTAGAGGTGTAACTTCTAAGAGCCTGTGGATATGTCTGCACTGCACTAAAACACCCGTGTCTGGGCTATACCAAGTGACTCGGACTTGCAGGGCTTGAGTTGCGGGGCTATAAAATTGCAGTATAGACATTCAGACTCAGGGATTCTCCCTTCTCCTGGGGTCCCATAGTCTGGGATCCAGCCTGAGCCCAAATGTCTACATTGTAATTTTATAGCCCTGCAGGCCGAGCCCCATGACCCAAGTCAGCTGACATGGGCCAGCTGCAAGTGTTTTATTGCAGTGTAGACCTACTCTTTTAGGCTTTTACAGAGCATTTCAAGGGATTCTTTTCAAGCATTTATGCTTCATATATATCTCCATAAAACTTGCTTGGTTTAAAATCTTGTTTTAAATGATCAGTGTACAGCAGATATCTTCAAACCACAAGTCAATATTTGAGTCACATGGGGAGCGAAGCTTTGTCTGAAGGATAAGGAAATTGCTGATGCTTTAATACATCCATAATGTTTTCAAAAGAGATGATACTGTAAGAAAACAATGAATTGCTTAATGTGCTTCTGGCATTTCCTTCCAGATTGCATTGCTGAAAGTGGGATGGAAAGCCATTCCAAGCGGAGAACGTGTTTGCCGGCTCCGTGTCCTAATACCAGTAACATCAGCCTGTGGAATATCCTGAGAAACAATATAGGGAAGGATCTCTCCAAGGTGGCCATGCCTGTTGAGTTAAATGAGCCACTTAACACTCTTCAGCGACTTTGTGAAGAACTGGAATACAGCGAACTACTGGATAAAGCAGCACGTACCCCGAATTCATTTGAAAGGATGGTAAAAAAAAAACATACCTTTCCAATACTGAGCAACATGAGATGTAACCGAAACAGAACACAATGGATTTTCTTAAGCCTAAGAGAGCAGAAAGTACTTTTTCATTTCTTGTGCTTACAGCACAGAGGGGCAGGTTTTTAAAAGAAAACATAACTAGCTCCTGTGATCTGTGTTTGACATAATTTCCATTGTCCTAACAGAGTAGCCATTCTTAGGTATCTGATTCTCCTGCAGATTTAGTTAAGGGAGAAGCTTAGTTCTGGTCTGTATTGCCTGTCTTCTCTCTCAAAGGTTTAAAATGTGATTTTTTTTGTTTTGTTGTGGAACTAATATGTTTTGTTAGGGGGCTTATTCCTTCACCCACTTACTTCCCTGGTCTTCTCACATGAACAGAGAGCAACAATACCCAAAGTCCAAAGGTGCAAACAATTCGATGTTTATTGGGGTGAACTTCCAGCAAGCATGATTCCAGTTTCCTTCCTTAGTGTCCCCCTTCCCAGCTCTGACACTACAGAACCTTATGTGTGTCCCTGTTCCCATTTCCACCTTTAGCTAAACATGATTTCAATTTCCCCACCCCTATTGCCTGTTCCCAATTCCCACCCACTTCCTGATTGACTGCAGACTATATAGTAAAACTTGAGTTCTGCTTAGCTATACCTTAACCAATCATTTTACTGAAATTTAACTAACCAATCCTAACATATTGTAACATGATTATATAACCAATTATATCCCACCACCTTAATTAGTTTACACCCAGCAAAATTAATTATACAGCAGACAGGAACAATCACAGAACCAGACAGAGATTATACAGACAAACAATAGCAAAGTGGGAACTATAATGACAAAACAATACAGAAGTGAGGGTTTTATATCCCAGCTATGGATAAGTGAGTTCTTGCCAGACAGGATGCTATCAAACTAAGTTTCCTTTTACATTTTCTACGCACTTCCCTTTCTCTGGAGGCGATAGGCACTATCAGGACAGGATTGTATTCCTAACAGCCCAATAGCACCTTCTTTCAATGTGACTAGTTTGGAATGTGAGGAGGTGACCGTTCGCTTCCCGGCTTATGGCTGCCTCTGTTGCTTAGCCAAAGGCCTTCGCCTAAGAACAGGGCCTCAGACTGTCACAGTAAGAGAAGGACCTTACACTGGCAGACAGTGATTTTGATTCTTTCTTTTATACCTCTAACTAGCCAAGTGATAAGAATACACCTAAATTCTTAGAGCCTTTACAGACAGGCCTGAATATCTATATCCTAACATGCTTCACTGATTAACACAAATGGTACAATATCTATTCTGCTTTCACAACATTTTGTAAGTGCATGGGGGGGACACAGAGATGACCTGTGCCTGCCAATTAGTGGGGGAGAGGGGCAGAGTAAGGGCAGCCAGCTTCAGCAGTACAAGTCCAGCTGCAAATCAGGAGGCGGGCCTGTGATCCCGCATATTCCCGCCCACACACACATGCGTCCCCTGGAGGGGGGGGAGAACACGTCCTGGGTCTTCCAACAAAATGTTAACTACAACAGTATTAACAGAATGAGCTACCTTTTTTTAAATCAGATTTTTTGTGTAAAGCTTTTTGAGTCACCATCAAATATTTGCAATCTCAAACTGGGCAAGAGATGTGTATTTGGTCAAAACACAAATGCCCTTTTGAAGTGAAATTTTTGAAGAGCCATTTCTCCTTTACTTATCGCCAAGACGGGACTTCACGTTTCTTCATTTCCTGGGCTAACCACCTAACTCAGCACTGCTGGGCGGGCTGGCTAGGGTGTGCATTTGCTATCGGAAAGACAGAACTTTGAATTCAGAACTTGGCAGGTAAGGGAGGGAGAAATGGATTTCAATCATACCTTGTTTCTAAGTGTAATCTCATATTAATATTTTAAGTCTATAATTATATTCTAATTGGTTTAAAATCCCTTATTAGCATTTTTAATGTTTTGGAACTAATGCTTTGCAGTTTCCCTTGAAGTGAATAAACACTTCAGCTCAATGGCTTTCATGATGAAGTGTCACTGTTCTCTTCTGTATTCAAACAATCCTGAACAGAAAGTTTTAAATTCTGTATAACAAAAACTTAATCCCACTTTTAAGATCCTACCTCATTTCTGCTGATTCTGCTAGAGGTATACTTGAGTCTGGGTCAAAGTAAGTAATGTCTTAAGGTCAATTATCAATAGACATTATTTTCTCTCTTCTTTTTGCTCGAGAATGTGTATTAAAAAAGGAAATAAGTAATTGCCTTTTTAGAAGGAAATAAAAACAAGACAATTTTTTTTTGATCCTTAGTTGTCAGGGAAATTACATTCGGGAACAGAAATAGGGAATTCTCCAGCATGAGAACCCCCAAACCAGGGTTAATGTTAATGAATGTCCTGAAATCCCACTACCTTGTAGTCTACTTCTGAGTGTTTCATTTACGGATTAAGGTACTGAGATTTGAGAGGTTTCAGAGGAACAGCCGTGTTAGTCTGTATTCGCAAAAAGAAAAGGAGTACTTGTGGCACCTTAGAGACTAACCAATTTATTTGAGCATGAGCTTTCGTGAGCCACAGTCTAGGGCTTTCCCAAGGAAAGGAAAAGGGGAGGGAGTTTCCTTGGAAGAAGGCAGTGAAGGAAAGGAGAGATGAATCAAGGTCCACAGAATAACTTCCAAATTTTCATTCCTCGGACTTTTCAGTTCTGCAGAGGTGCTAATAACTATCGGGGGGGGGGGGGGAATTTGTATCTGCCACCTATTGTAAAGGAAACTGGCAAGATAAAGATTAGCACACAATAGACAAATGGCAGGGCAAACTGGCTGCGTCACTTATGTCGGCAAAATGTATGTTGCTATGGGGTGTGAATATTCCACACACACACACACCCGAGCGGCGTAAGTGGTAATGTGCACTTCTCCCGCCAACATAGCTATTGCTGCTCGTTGGGAGTGGTTTAATTATGTTTACTGGAGACCTCTCTCCCATTGGCATAGAGTGACTACACAAGCTTTGCTACTGTCAGCTCTCTAGTATAGACATAGCCTTAATGACCCCACACAGAAACCTAAGTAGACCAGTAAACTGTTGCCTTAGAGATATGAGCCCCTTCCCCATGTTTTAGGGGTGGGGGACAAAGGATATGGTTTCATAAGTCTAGGGACCACAGGTGTACAGTTAATGTTTTGAGACATTTTCTAATATAAAATTTGAAATTGCTTTTTAAGCAGTTTCTCGTTTACTGGTTTCTGTTCTTTGGAATGGCATTTTGTTTAAAGTAATTTTTTTAGAAGTACCGTTTTTATCTACATTTTAAATTGGTGTCAAATTCTGAGTTGCTTTAACAGCTTTTTTTTTACTGGACCAACTTCTGTTGGTGGAGGGGACAAGCTTTTGAACTTCAGAGCTCTTTCTCTGCTCTGGAGAAGATGACAAGGTGAGACAGATTGTTAAGAATTAAGGGTCCACATGTTGTAGAAGACTCCTTAAAATGAAGTGGGTATGTAGCACATCTGCAGTCCTAGGCCATAAAATGAGCCATAAAAGCAGTGTCTCTGTTAAGCCCATGATTTTTAATGTCTAGCATAGTTATTAAATTAATTTCCCAGGCTTGTCTTTTGAAGATGTCATGTAGGTTTCCTTTTGAAGATGAGAATTGAGAGGTCAGATATACGGTGTACCACATCCAGTGCATCAAATGCCCCAACTACTATATGGGTGAAACCAGATAATCACTATGCTTTCAAAAGAACGTGTACAGCAAAATAAGACAAAAACACCCTATCACACATAGACTAATACTTTTCACAAAGCGATCACTCCATATCTGACCTCTCAATCCTCGAAATCTTGTCCCTTCCACCGACAGAAGTTGGTCCAGTAAAAGATATTACCTTACCCACTTTGGTAACATGGTCTGTGTAGACATAATCAGAGGATGTTGTGAAGGCCAAGACTATGACAAGGTTCAAAAAAGAACTAGATAAATTCATGGATCCATCAATGACTATTAGCCAGGATGGGCAGGGATGGTGTCCCTAACCTCTGTTTGCCAGAAGCTGGGAATAGAAGACAGGGAATGGATCACTTGATGATGACCTGTTCTGTTCATTCCCTCAAGGCCACCTGGTATTGGCCACTGTCAGAAGACAGGATACTGGGCTAGATGGAGTTTTGGTCTGACCCCGTACGGCCGTTCTTATGTTCTTACACATGTTCTTGCAGTTGCGTCGCTGTAAGGTCTCCTGTGTAGCTGCTCTATGCCAGTGGGAGAAATCTCTCACACCGGCATAATTAAACCACCTCCAACGAGTGGTGGTATATATGTCAGCGGTGGGATACTCTTTCACTGACATAGCTCAGTCTACAGCGGCGCTTTTGTCAGTTGGGGTATTTTTTCACACCCCTGACCAACCAAAGTTTTGCTGACAAAAGTGCTGGTATAGACATAGCCTTTGTGTGTCTCATAGTCTGGGACCAACAGGGCTGCAACACTGCAGACTAACAGCTCAAGTATTCTTTGATCCAGCATTTGGAGTTCACAGACTGTGTGTGTGTGTGTGTGTGTCTCTCTCTCTCTCTGTCCATTTTTGGGGTGTGCCTCTGATTTCATTTTTTCCTGCATAGTTGTGAAAGGAGAAATTGAAGTACGTTTTAATCTTTTATGAATTTGGATCCTTCCTATTTTTAATAAAGGCCTTGAAATGACTCTGCAAACTGAGTCACACCTCAATGCTCATGTTAAAGGTTGGCTTGCAATAAGCCACACATTTGCAAACTGCAGAAGAATGTAGTATCTGGCATCTGTATGAGGCCTCTCTTTTGTCTATATAATGAAAACAGTTAATGACCAATTAAGCAAAATCCTGTTTATTCTCAGGTGTACGTGGCTGCTTTTGCAGTATCGGCATATGCATCCAGTTACTACAGGGCTGGGAGTAAGCCATTTAATCCGGTGCTTGGAGAAACCTATGAATGTGTCCGGGAAGATAAGGGCTTCCAATTTTTTTCAGAACAGGTACTGTATATTGTGCCTTTAACTGTCCCACTAGTCACTTAATAGACTGTTTAATTCTATATACATGGCAGCAGTCCTCTGGGGCTCCCCACAGAATGTGGGCATAAGTCATATATAGCATCTTCAGAAGACATTGCAGAATTATAAGCTATAGAGATCACTGCACTATCTGCTAAAATGTAGCTACCTCTGGGGTGGAACATGGTAGCAGCCATTATAGAAGTGCTAACATTACACACCAGTTTACGGCCACAAAGCAAAGAATAACAGCTTATCTACTTGAAGTAACAGAAGAACTTCCCTGGGCAAAAGCCAATTGCCTATATTGAAAACTGGCCTGGACTAGGGCACGTATTCATATTCCTGTGAAAAGTTTCATGTGATCTTTAACAATCAGTAATAGTCCAGACCTTGTTATTGCATTTCAGCATGGTGCCCCCGCATACTGCAATAAACCAACTGTCCAACCAGCAACTTTCTGTAGCACCCTGGGTTGTCTTCAGATACTGGCTGGGTCCTTACTCTATAAGATCAGGGATCTCCCCTCATGTAGTTGTAGGCCATATACAGCTAGGCAAAGAGTCTGAGTATTTCTGCAAATAATCTCCAGACAGGAAGATGACTAAAGTATAGGAAATATAATACCAGGTTAAAAACAGGGCTCTACCAAAAGCAGGTGGGGTTATTGAAGCACTAAATTAAAAGGGGGAGGGGGGGAATTTTGGTTACTATGGTATTCACTGAAGTAACAGGTTAAAAACTGTTTCAGCTCATCTAGACATGATAAAAAGGCATGGGGGAAAAACTGTGCCTATTGTAGGACTTTGGTCACAGGTAATCCTAAATTAGAATCCATTAAGAAACAAGTTTTTTCTTAAACTGTAAAGGCAGAACCTGGAACAATAGATCTTAAGCAGGTGACCCAAAAAAGTGCTATGTAATCTTAACCTAGCCCCAGGAAATGAGTCACAGGCATTACTGAGATGGAAATATGGGAATGGGTAGGGCAAGTATCAGGTTTAAAATTCCATTAGTGTTCCTGGTTCTCCAGTTTTATGGTGATGAAAACCATTGATTCGTGAAAATTGCACTGGCATAAAACCGACCTAGAGTAAGGAAGTGGTGAATCAGGCCCGCTGTTGCAGTATCACAATAATTTCAGTTAATGTGGAAAGATTTGCCCTGCTACCCTGTATAAAGCATATGGTTGCCAACTCTCCAGGATTGTCCTGGAGTCCCCAGGAATTAAAGATTGTCATGTGATGAAACCTCCAGAATACATCCAACCAAAACTGGCAACCCTAATAAAGCAAATAATAAAAACACTAACTTGTTTGTTCTAACTTGTTAGGAATCTAAGAACCATCATGGAGGCTTCTATTATCCTACAGACACACTCCACTATGTGCATATGTTCAATAAAAATGAAAGGTAATACAGTGAATTTACTGGCAAGAGGGTGAGGGAGCTGTTGGCAGGTACAGAGAAATACAGAAAGAACACAACATGCAGCAAGCAGGGCAGCCAACTTCTTGTCAGATCTATTTAGATTGAAAGTTCTTTGGGGCAGGGATTGTCGTTTACCAGGCATCTGCCAGCACCTAGTTGTGGCCTCTAAGTGTTACTATAATACAGATAATAAATTAGAATAATTCTGCTCTGTTACCAGTGTAAATATTTAGCCCATAGAGTATATTTTAGAAACTAGGGTGAATGCAGTGCCATCTGAGAAGGAGACTATCACCCCAATGTGGGTTAGGACAGTGCCAAAGGTTAGCTGTATATTAGACTCACCACAATACATTAAAGGATATTCAATAAGGACATGAATGCCTTTACAGAAAAAACAGAAGGATTTAATAAGGAATAAGAGAAATTATAACGGAGGAGAAAATAAATTGCATTATTTACATGTCCAGCTAAAACAGAAATGTGACTCCAAGTAGCATGCATTTACTCTTGACAGAAAACAAATTTCTTTGTCTCATTCCTGTTACTTGTCTGTCATTTAACACAGTTCCTGCTCACAGCTATCAAGAAATGAATGTGAATGTGATTGCTGCTGCTTCTACCCTGTGTAGTTGCTTTACCACACTCCTTTCTTTCTCTGCAACGTCAAATTTATTTATTTATTTATTTATTTTACAACCCTGGCTTTATTTGGCGGTTGCCCTAATTCAGATCTACGCAACTACACAAGCCCAATTATGAGGAAATGCTGTGGTTGAGGTTTTCTGCTGGGAAGAACAAGTGCAGAAGACCGCATATTGTAGCAGCTATTGTCAGAAGATGGGGTTATGTGGTCTGATTTTTCCCAGAGGTGCTGAGCAGCACCAGTTTCCAATGAAGTTAATGGGATTTTTGGGTATCCGCAGCTTTAAAAATGAGGCCAACTTTCCCTTTACTCTGCTTACACCAGAGGTGAACTTGATCCTTTGTTTTTGCACATCTGTTTGTGGCTACTGTTAATACATTCATGGGTCCTCAGGCCATATGTAATTACCACATGAGTGACACTGTGCAACATATGCAGTTAATAGTTCACCCAACCCACAAAAGTCACAGGTCTTTTCTTTGTAATATTTGCTTGAAATCCCACTTTCCACAACCCTTTTTAATCATCAGTGGTTATCGGTTTATTCTACTAGCTCCCCTTGAGGACAAAATTATGAAAGGAAAATGAGGCATTTAAACTGTAAAATTCAAACATGAAAAAATGTAAGCAGATTCTAATGAACTTGTTAATGTTAATGCATTTTTTCCCTTCTTCCAACTAGGTCAGTCATCACCCACCAATATCTGCATGTCATGCTGAATCTGTGAATTTTGCTTTTTGGCAAGGTAATTCTTTAGTTTATCATTAACTGCTGTCATTTTCATAGTAGCTTCATTTTATGTCTAACATTAAACATCCAGACGAACAATAAAGGCAGGCCTCCCCAGCTGTTCAGTAATATTAGAACTGCTCTAGGCAATCTCAGCCCCTAGACTATGGCATGCCTGTTATAACGTTTGTGAAATCATTCCTGAATAATAATGAATGGTATTTCACCAGTACAAACGTCTGCATTTCTAAAACAACCTGGAAATGTTGTTCTGTAGCTTAAATAAAGCACTGGAAAAGTTGCATCTCAAGTTTAGAAAAAAATTAAAAACGTGATTAGAACTAGAAAACTAGGGCCTGGTCTGATTCATTTGCAGGATTTACCACATTTTAATTCCACTCCCACCTCGACCCCCACCCAAGAGATTTGGACAAGACAATGGAGAAACCTATGTACCATTTTTTAAAACTGAAACCATAAGGAGAAAAGGAAATCATTACAACATGACAGGCATTTGTGTGGTTTGACTCTTTAGCCCCTGTCTTGGGATTCCCAATTTTTCCAAAAAAACATGGGTGCAAAGACCTTGCCTGCTTCACAACTATGGCAAAGTCATGGGACCTAGTTACAACAGGGTTTTCCCTTGACCAATATACTTAGTCTAAGAAATAGAGTAGATGGAACCTAACCATGTCCCCATAACTGAGTTAAACCCTTTGAACTTGAGAGGTTTGACAATGCATGACATATCTGGGCTACTTTAAGTCTGTCTTTTAATTGTATTGTCTGACTTCAGTATAGTTATTACACCTGTGGCCATATTTAAAATAATTGGGGCTCTTACTAGTCTGTGTTTTCTTCTTTCCTCTTTCCAATGTATTCCTCTTCCTTGCAAATAAATACAAGACAAGAGTCCTTTATTCTTGACCTGAAATAGCTAATGGTTAAAAGTTCAGGCAAAAGAGCCAGACAATGTACAGGGAAGACTGGATAGTATCATCATGGCAAGGAAGAAACTGTCTAATAAAATTGAAGACACTGATACACATGGCTGGTTTTGTGTTTGTTTTTTTAAAATACCATCTCTGGCTATGATAACATCTTGTGCATTGTGAGAACAAAATGCTCCTCCAGAAAGAATCTGGCCTTGTAAGTGAGAATCTAAAGTTTCCTTTTGGGTGCCTGAGGAGACAGAATCAGGGCACACGTAGTTCATTAAAAAGTGGTCGGATGAGCTGTTAGAGAACTCTGACAACGCTTTGATTTTTGCTAGGAGAATGCTGGGGCTAAGGCTGCCACCTCTTCCCACAGGACAGTCCCCATCATTTGTGCAACTCTAAGCATCAAGAAATTTAATCCTAAAGCAGCTAGTGTGTGAGGAAAGTTCTTCGTATGATGTGAATGTTTCCCAATCCTACATCCTCCTTTGTTAAAAGGAGGGAACTTTGGTCTAGTCCAGGGTTTGCTGAGCCTGGCAAGGCTGTCAGGATGGAGTATTTTAGGCTCTCTAAATTTAAGAGGCTCCTTTCCTCTTGAGAGAGCTGTGGTTCCTGGAATTCGATCATTCGTGTGTTTTGGAGGAACTGGATGCTGAGTGACAGTTTTTGTGGGGGTCTTCTGAAGAATATTCCTCTTTCTGCTCCTCTGTCCCCAACCAACCCTACCTTGCCTTTTCTATTGTGACTCTGTCCTCTAAGCTGGCTCTGATGCGTCTTTCTCATTCATGAGGTCATTAAAACTCTGTGAGGCAGGAGAGTGGGTTCTGACCGTGCTGTTTATTCTGGTAACCATTTTTTTCCACATTGTGAAACTGAAACTTTTGGTTGCCTATTCCACTGTCACATGTTAAGGAGACTTTGATAAACACTGGTCTCTCTATTCTTCTAAAGCACCTACCATCGCAGCATCTGTGCTTTGACTTCCAGTTAATTCCTCATTTGGTACAAATGTTATCCAAACTTTCTGGATTTTCATGCTACATTTTTCTTGAGATGTTTCCAATATACTGATCTTTAAATATGACAGCCTAACTACATAAGAGACCATAAAGCATCTCATAACTATCTGTACAGTACCTTAACACTTAAACTTTGTGAGAGGTCTGTGTACCATTGACATGTCTGTTATATGGCAGCACTTCAGGTAATGTTGATCTTCTACTTATTATGTGATATGAAGTTGTGACAGGGTTCCCGGGGTGCAATCTAGACTGTGGACTGCTGAGCCCTCTGTCCCACCAACCTGAGGTATCGCTAGGGTTGCCAGGTGCCTGGTTTTTGACTGGAGTCCCCAATTTCAATTTCCTTGAAATATGAGCTTTGCTTTTGGAGATGGCCTCGTTCTAATAAAATATTGAGTGTGAATGAAGTATATGTTATCTAGGAATTGTTCATTCCAATTCCATTCATTTGAACAAAATCGGATAAAGAATATTATCATTTTCTTCTGCTTCTGGCTTTGACTTTCTGGTTGACATGTTAGACATGCATCCCTTGGAAAAATGAGAAACTATATGGAGCTTTGCAGGTCAATAGCTGAAACTTTGCTTAGGATCTCAAACACTTTATTACATAAGGCTTTTTCAAAATAATTCCCCTCAGAAATTGTTTTATTGACCTGTGTTTACTACTAAATGTGTCCATGTTTTTCTGTTTCAGATGTGAGATGGAAAAACAAATTCTGGGGAAAGTCCATGGAAATCGTTCCAATTGGTACAACACATGTAACTCTGCCAGCGTGAGTGCTGCATCAACATATTACTATCCACAGACAAAGCAGGGCTGCATTTACAAAATAGAACCACAACTACAGTATGGTAGTATACCTCTCAGAGCCTTTGCTATTGGTTTAAAGTCTAAAATCCTTTAGCAGTTCTTCTGTCCATACACAGTTAGAATTGTTTTACAAATACTTAGAAAATTAATTTATCCTTTTTTTAAGAGAAGGCTGCAGGCTTCATACTTGTGGTATATGGGGGTCACGGACTCTTTTCTTTCTTTGGCTACATTAACTGCCCTTAATAATGAGAGCGCTCCTTGGGTCAGGGACTCTGTTCTGTGTTTTCTACAGTGCCTAACACAATGATCCTGGTCCTTACTGGGCCCTACTGCAATATAAGTAATTACTATTAATAATAAATAGCAAAAGCAGCATATTCTTTTGTGTGAAATCAACAGCTAACGTGATGAATTACACAACTTCAGTGCTTAATAAATATCCTTTGATTAAAAAGAAAAGAAATAAACAAGGTGTTCCTGTGCTGCTGTGGCACGGAGTATTCATTACTAGATCGAAAGATTAAAACTCCATGGTAGAATCTGGCCTATTTCAATCTTTTGTTGCAAAACACAGGTCTAAAGTTTGAGCAGCGTTCCATTTAAATCTGCTATTTCCTAAACAATAAAATTGAATTAACCTGCCATTTAAAAGCTCTGGCTAGACAGACAAAACTTGTATGCATCTACAGATTAAACAAAACATGTATTCATTAGCTGGCAATGCTAACACTACATCAGGTTCCTTTCTGGGCTCAGGGGGTGGTGAAGTAAGAAGAGGAGCTTTATCATGAAGAGATGATTGAGTCCACATTTATTAGTTTATTCCTGTTAAAGTTGACTCTGCACTGTGTGGTACACCAAGAAGAACATACATAGATCTGTGAAATACAACCCACAAAAGTTAAAGGCTAAAATCATTCTCACTAATTGTTCTTCATTACCTGAATTCATGAGCAAAATTATGTTGCTCCCTACCCTCGTTCCATATATTTTGCTTTGTTGGTGCAAAACAGCCCCAGTGAAGGGTCATTTGAGTGGCTGCCTCCTCCTTTGTTCTCGTTGTAATTTAAAAGGTATCCTTGATACTGAAGGTCCTTTAACTTTGCTGTCCCGGCTAGTCTGCTTGTCCCCTGTTTTGCTGAATTGGCACCTTTTGGAAGCAGTGACTCTTTTCTGAGTCCTAGAATTATTGACTCAGTAGAGAACTGGACTCTAAGACCTTTAGAAATAAAATACTTCTTCAGACTAAGATTTTCAAGGTGAGAGAGAACAGAGGAGGAGTTGAAAAGACTGGGGCAAAAAGGAAGGAATTGATCCGCCAAGCACCATTCCCACTTTCTCTGGTTTCTATAGAAGCAGCAATAGCCTTTTTTCTATCTGGATATCTACTGTAAGACTTAAAGGTGGGGTTCCTCACACTTGCCCCAACACTATTCCTTGAGAAATATTCACAAGTGTACTCCTACCAACTTCCTCTCTCCACTCTGCCTCTCTACACCCTGTCTCTGTGTACTTTCTTTCCTCTTCTTCATGTCTTCTTTGTCTTTTGATGTCCTAGATTTCCTTTGCAACACAACTTGTAAAATCTGTGAACACAATTTTATCTATATCTATATCAGTAAATGTTCATGATGCAGGTACACTGTGCCGCATGGGTCCCTGTCCCAAAAACTTCGGTTCTAAAGACAATCCTGTATAATGTCATGTAAAGCAAACTCACGACCATGCATCACACTCACTGAAATGATTAATGGAATAGGTGGGTTTATAGAGAGATTTGGAGGAAAGGGAAGGAGTTTGGGCAAATATTAGATAAAGAAGCATAGTGTAATGGTTAAAGCACAGGATTGGAAATCAAGATAACTGGGTAGTAATCCTAGTTCTTCTATCCACTTTGAATGATTTGAGGCACGTCACTTAAAATGCATTTCTAGTCTGAAAAGCGATTGCATAAAATGGTATTCTGGAGTTCTAGGTTTGAGTCTCAATGGTTCTGTCTCAAATTTACTCAGTGCAGAATTTTTAAAATATTTTTACCAGCTGTAAACTCAGCCTGGTATCTGAGAGCCCAGTTGCGGTTAAGTCTTCATTGATGCTATTGAGATCATGATATGGCCCTCAGATACTTTATTACCAGTGATGATACTGGTACATGAAAGAACAAGATAATTCAGCTTGACTTTCAGATCTCAGGTTGTGTTTGCAGATCTGGAGTAAGTTTACATCTTAATTGGAACTTCCAAATTCTTTGCAGTCATTGACTAAAACTGAAAATCTGTTCTACGGATACAGGTGTGTCAACTCCTTTCTCCGCTCCTTGATTATCAGTGTACTAGCTTGCTGTAATGAATGGAGTACATGAAGGTTTGTGTACACTGGATTGGGTAAAGATATGTCACTCTGTAATAGTAGAAGGCTGGGATTCTCCTCACATTTTTGAGGGTAAATAGAGAGCGTACATGGTGTTCCATTCCACAGAGGGAGGATAAGTGAAATAAATTAGGTTTCAGAGTAGCAGCCGTGTTAGTCTGTATCTGCAAAAAGAAAAGGAGTACTTGTGGCACCTTAGAGACTAACAAATTTATTTGAGCATAACCTTTTGTGAGCTACAGCTCAAATAAATTTGTTAGTCTGTAAGGTGCCACAAGTACTCCTTTTCTTTTTGTGAAATAAATTAGACTTTCTGCCTCATAGTGGAATCGTGGATTTGGAAATGCTGGTGTTTCTGGACTGTACATGAAAAATAGGGGATGATATATTGTGGTCTCTTGTAGAAAGTCTGAATTGGGGAGGGAGAAATCTGTAGATGGAGGGTAAGAGGCAAGATATCAGTGGTTTGGGGCTGGTGAACTGGAAGATGGTCTGCGGGCCCTGTGCAGTTTGCAGGCAATGATCCCTATGAAAACAGTGTTCAATGTAGTGTTGGGTGCAGGAAGGTTTCTATAGGTAGAAGATTGGCAGAATTAAAGTTGGTTTTGGAATGTGCAATGTGGTATTTTTAATATGCATATATATTGGAGACCATAAGAACTGAGAGGATATTTGAACACTTATCAACCTTCCTTTAATTGTTCATTTTCAGACATTGTTAAATGTTCATTGTTTTTAAAAATGGACAATTTGCTTGGAATATAGATGTTAATGTTATATAATTACCTTGTTAGTTTATTTTATTAATATTTTTTCCTTTTGCTCTTGCTCTAGTATGCAACTGCCTCTTCAGGAACTAATTAAGTCTGTGTTGTTATGCTCTTACCTAGAGCACAAACTCACTTGTGCAGTGAAGTGCATTGAAGTCAATAGACTCCCCTTGACTTCAGCGGACTTTCAGTCAGGCCCTAGATGTTGGTGAGGGACTGTGAACAGTGGACACTTAACAAAATGGGCATAGATTCATAGATACTAAGGTCAGAAGGGACCATTATGATCATCTAGTCCGACCTCCTGCACAACGCAGGCCACAGAATCTCACCCACCCACTCCTGCGAAAAACCTCTCACCTATGTCTGAGCTATTGAAGTCCTCAAATCGTGGTTTAAAGACTTCAAGGAGCAGAGAATCCTCCAGCACGTGACCCGTGTCCCATGCTACAGAAGAAGGCGAAAAACCTCCAGGGCCTCTTCCAATCTGCCCTGGAGGAAAATTCCTTCCTGACCCCAAATATGGTGATCAGCTAAACCCTGAGCATATGGGCAAGATTCACCAGCCAGATACCCAGGAAAGAAAGTAGTAACTCGGATCCCACCCCATCTAACATCCCATCACAGGCTATTGGGCCTATTTACCATGAATATTTAAAGATCAATTAACTACCAAAATCATGTTATCCCATCATACCATCTCCTCCATAAACTTATCGAGTTTAATCTTAAAGCCAGGTAGGTCTTTTGCCCCCACTGCTTCTCTTGGAAGGCTATTCCAAAACTTCACTCCTCTGATGGTTAGAAACCTTCATCTAATTTCAAGTCTAAACTTCCCAATGACCAGTGTATATCCATTTGTTCTTGTGTCCACATTGGTACTGAGCTTAAATAATTCTTCTCCCTCCCTGGTATTTATCTCTCTGATATATTTATAGAGAGCAATCATATCTCCCTTTAGCCTTCTTTTAGTTAGGCTACACAAGCCAAGCTCCTTGAGTCTCCTTTCATAAGACAGGTTTTCTATTTCTCGGATCATCCTAGTAGCCCTTCTCTGTACCTGTTCCAGTTTGAATGTTTAAATGTCCAGTTCTTAAACATGGGAGACCAGAACTGCACACACTATTCCAGGTGAGGTCTCACCGGTGCCTTGTATAACGGTACTAAAACCTCCTTATCTCTACTGGAAATACCTCGTCTGATGCATCCCAAGACCGCATTAGCTTTTTTCACGGCCAAATCACATTGGTGACTCATAGTCATCCTATGATCAACTAATACTCCAAGGTCCTTCTCCTCCTCCGTTACTTGTAATTGATGCGTCCCCAGCTTATAACTAAAATTCTTGTTGTTAATCCCTAAATGCATGAGCTTACACTTCTCACTATTAAATTTCATTCTATTACTATTACTCCAGTTTACAAGGTCATCCAAATCTTCCTGTATGATTTCCTGGTCCTTCTCTAAATTCGCAATACCTCCCAGCTTTGTATCATCTGCAAACTTTATTAGCACACTCCTACCTTTTGTGCCGAGGTCAGTAATAAAAAGACTAAATAAGATTGGTCCCAAAACTGATCCCTGAGGAACTCCACTGGTAACCTCCCTCCCTCCAGCCTGACAGTTCACCTTTCAGTAGGACCCGCTGTAGTCTCCCCGTTAACCAATTCCTTATCCACCTTTCAATTTTCATATTGATCCCCATCTTTCCAATTTAACTAGTAATTCCACATGTGGCACGGTATCAAACACCTTACTGAAATCTAGGTAAATTAGATCCACTGCGTTTCCTTTGTCTAAAAAAATCTGTTACTTTCTCAAAGGAGGAGATCAGGTTGGTTTGGCACGGTCTACCTTTTGTAAAACCATGTTGTATTTTGTCCCATTTACCATTGACCTCAATGTCCTTAACTACTTTCTCCTTCAAAAATTTTTCCAAGACCTTGCATACTACAGATGTCAAGCTAACAGGCATGTAGTTACCCGGATCACTTTTTTTCCCTTTCTTAAAAATAGGAACTGTTAGCAATTCTCCAGTCATATGGTACGACCCCTGAGTTTACAGATTCATTAAAAATTCTTGCTAATGGCCTTGCAATTTCATGTGCCAATTCCTTTAATATTCTTGGATGAAGATTATCTGGGCCCTCCAATTCAGTCCCATTAAGCTGTTCGAGTTTCACTTGTACCTCAGATATGGTAATATCTACCTCCATATCCTCATTCCTATTTGTCATGCTACCATTTTCCTTAAGATCCTCTTTAGCTTTATTAAAGACTGAGGCAAAGTATTTGTTTAGATATTGGGCCATGCCTAGATTATTCTTGCCCTCCACTCCATCCTCAGTGGTTAGTGGTCCCACATCTTCTTTCTTTGTTTTCTTCTTATTTATACGGCTATAGAACCTTTTACTATTGGTTTTAATTCCCTTTGCAAGGTCCAACTCTACTTGACTTTTAGCCTGTCTCACTTTATCCCTACGTGTTCTGACCTCAATAAGGTAGCTTTCCTTGCAGATCCCTCCCATCTTCCACTCCCTGTATGCTTTCTGCTTTTTCTTAATCACCTCTCTGAGATGCTTGCTCATCCAGCTTGGTCTACAACTCCTACCTATGAATTTTTTCCCCTTTCTTGGGATGCAGGCTTCCGATAGCATCTGCAGTTTTGATTTAAAGTAATCCCAGGCCTCCTCTGTCTTTAGATCCATAAATTCTTCAGTCCAATCCACTTCCCTAACTAATTTCCTTAATTTTTGAAAGTCAGCCCTTTTGAAATCAAAAACCCTAGTTACAGATTTATTTTTGTTAATCCTTCCATTTAATTTGAACTGAATTAGCTCATGATCACTTGAACCAAGATTGTCCCCTACAACCATTTCTTCTATGAGGTCCTCACTACTCACCAAAACCAAATCTAAAATGGCATCCCCTCTTGTCGGTTCAGCAACTACTTGATGAAGGAATCCATCAGCTATCGCATCTAGGAAGATCTGAGCCCTATTATTATTACTAGCACTCGTCCTCCAGTCTATACCTGGGAAGTTAGTCTCCCATGATCACACAGTTTCCATTAGTATTTACTTCATTAAAAACATTGAAGAGGGCTCTATCCATATCCAAATTAGATCCCGGCGGTCTATAGCACACCCCAAGCACTATCCTAGGGGAGCCTCTAATAGTTTTCTTCCCCAATGTGATTTTTGCCCAGACGGACTCTGTCTTATCCATTCCATCGCTTCTTATTTCTTTACATTCTACCTCATCATTGATATACAATCCAACTCCACCACCTTTACCTTTATTTCTGTCTTTTCTAAGCAGCACATACCCTTCAATACCTGTAGTCCAGTCATGACTACTATTCCACCATGTTTCTGTTATCCCTATAATATCTGGTTTCACTTCCTGCACCAGTAGCTCTAGTTCCTCCATTCTGTTACCTAGGCTCCTCGCATTGGTGTACAAACATCTTCATTTTTGCTGTTTGGCCTCGCTCACATTCTGTACCTGATTAGGCATGGACATTCTACACCCAGTATGACCTATTAGACTGGTATCCACACTGCCCTTCCTCCTTATATACATTCTCCTACCCACGGCTGTATCCTTTCTTACTTCGTTTTCTTCCCTCTCAATGCTAAAATCCAGTGTGGCAATTACCTGGACATCTCCCAACCATCTCCCCCAAATTCCTAGTTTTAAAGCTCTCTTAATCAGTTGTGACATCCTCCATCCTAGAAGTCTATTTCCTTCCCTACTCAGATGAAGTCCATTCCGAGAGAACTGTCCTCTGTCCATGAATGCCTCCCAGTGGCCATACATCCCAAAGCCCTCCTTATAGCACCACTGCCTAAGCCATCTGTTGATAGTCATAATCTTGTCACACCTTTGTTGCCCTTCTCTCTAGGAACAGGCAGAATCCCACTAAAGATTACCTGAGCCTCAATTTCCTTAAGCGTCTTCCCCAGCCTAGCATAGTCTCCCTTAATACTTTCCAGCGAGAATCTAGCTGTATCATTTGTTCACACATGAAGGATAATTAGGGGATTCTTTCCTGCTCCCTTTAGGATCCTTTTCAACTTCAGGTCTACATGCCGTATTTTAGCACCTGGAAGACAGCACACCCTTCTATTCTCTGGATCAGCTCTGGTTACAGGCCTGTCTATTCTTCTCAATAAGGAGTCCCCATTCACATAGACCTGCCTTTTCCTGGTGACGGTGCTATTCTCCAGTCTATCCCCTGTTCCCTCTGGCTGCAAGTTCTTTCCATTCCTATTCTCCCTTGTAATCCTCTTCAACCCATCCTGTATCCTCCTGGGGCTCATATTTGGTGTAATCTCCATTGACTCGTCCCCTTTTCTGATAGGACTAGCCGCTCTTCTCTTCTTCCTTGCCCTTCCACCTTCAGTGACTACCTGCTGAGTCCCTTCTTCGTTTTCCAACTGTGCAAACCTGTTCTTGAGCTCTATTTCTCCTTCACTAGCCTGTCTTTTCCTCTGCCTGGTTCTTTTAGTCACATGCTTCCACTGACCACTTTCCTCACCCAGTCTCCCCTCAGAATTCCTTAGTCCTGCTTCCATCTGCAAGTCTGAGCTTTTCCCTTCAGGTACCTCATGTCTTTGCTCCATAATCTGCTCGAACCCCTTTCTAAACTCAACCAAACTTTCCACCTGCATCTCCAGACCTCGGATCTTTTCCTCCATCAGCTCTATCAGACAGCATTTCATGCAGACAAAACTCTTACAATGTACCCCCTCCAGGATCAAGTACATACCGCAGCTTCCACATCCAGTCATCTTCATTGTGTCTTCCTCTACATGAGTCACTCCCACTGCTGCCTCTGTATCTGTCATAGCCTTCCCACCTAAATCCTGTTAATCTGGGAAACACAAACCACACCAAAACACCACCACCCGCAGCAAAAACAAACCCCAAACAAGCACCACAATACAAACTCCCACTGAAACTCCCCTGTTTACAGCTCTGTTTGCTAGCTTCTGTGCCGTTAATGCTTCTTCCCTTAATCAATTGTTATATGCAATACGAGCACTGTTTTTTTAACATTGGATGAGCTAAGAGAACTAACTGAATTCAGTGCTATGGTTTACACCAGAAGTGCAAAGGTTTTTCAGGGAAATTGATTTTCTTGCTGGGTCATTGTGCTTGCCCCGCAGGGAGGGAAAGGGGAAAGGGAGAGAAGACTCATTTAACATTTTTGAATAAGAAAATTCCTCCATTAGTCATTGTTATGAGTTCATTGGTTATTTTAGGGATGGCATCATTCACCTCTTTATCTTGCTTCAAGTTTCAGAGACCATTTTGAGTGGAATAAGGTGACTTCTTGTATCCATAACATCTTAAGTGGGCAAAGATGGATTGAACACTACGGCGAGATCATCATCAAAAACCTGAATGACGACACTTGTCTCTGCAAACTGACTTTCATAAAGGTGTGACTTTCACTCACCGCAGTGGTGTTAATACTTTTTCTGATGAGCACTGCTGTAAGGAGGATGCTATATAGTAGAGCCATGCCCAGCAGGGTACTCTTGTTCCTTGGGCTGCTTATGAATCACATTTTCCCTTTGATCTAATTGTAATTGACACAGGTGCGTTGGAGATTTTTGTCCATCAGGGGGAGAACCGAACTCTAAAAGAATTGCATTTCATTCGGGAGGGCCAGGCAGAAAGTAAAAGTTGCTGCTTGGTGTGAGGAGACTCCTGATGTATGGAAAGAAACCACCAGGGTCGGGGAAGAGTGGGCACTTTCCAGCTGCCTCTGACTAAAGACAGGCACTAGGTATCCACTAGTGGTGACTCCCCACATGCCTCTCACTAAGCCCCTGTGGGGCAGTCTGTTCTGTTTGCTTTCAAGTTGTCTTTTACCAGCAGCTGTAGATCTGGCACTTACAGGCCAAGTGCCTAACAAGACTCCAGCTGAGCAGCCAGCACTCTGCTTCTCCCTTTTGTGTACCCAAAGCACTAGCTTAGCTGGGCTGTTGTGTAAGGCGTGTGCTTCAGTAGGAGGCATGAAGTACTCCTGACCATGCAATTTAAAGTTATATCAGCAGTGGGTTAAAATGGCTTCTTGGAAGCACATGGCAACTAGAAACCCAGCAAGGCATCTGTTGACTAGGCTGGTTGCTACCTGACTGAGACTTTTGCATATCATATTGAGATACTTGCCTAAATCCTGGTTCTCCTTATCTAAGTTTCTTGGCGCAAGTATTTGTTTCATCCCTTCCATCCACATGGTAAGTGCTGTTGCATGCACCATGCATCTGCAACAGGAGAAAATAAACTACTGTAAAACATCCTTTGAAATTTCATTTTTGTGTTCATTTGTTCCCATGAGTATTATGACAGGTTTCAGAGTAGCAGCCGTGTTAGTCTGTGTTCGCAAAAAGAAAAGGAGGACTTGTGGCACCTTAGAGACTAACCAATTTATTTGAGCATAAGCTTTCGTGAGCTACAGCTCACTTCATCGGATGCATACTGAGAATACTTTCCACAGTATGCATCCAATGAAGTGAGCTGTAGCTCACGAAAGCTTATGCTCAAATAAATTGGTTAGTCTCTAAGGTGCCACAAGTCCTCCTTTTCTTTTTAGAGACTAACCAATTTATTTGAGCATAAGCTTTCATGAGCTACAGCTCACTTCATCGGATGCCTTAGTCTCTAAGGTGCCACTAGTACTCCTTTTCTTTTTTCATGATTATTATGTCACTTTCTAGGTAACACTGAAATGATTTTCAAATGCTTATTTTTAACTGAAAAATTACAAAGACATTGTATACAGTCCGTGTTTGGAACTGAGATTTTAAAGTTTGAGATGTATTGCAAATCTTAAGTATTCTGCATTGTAAACTGGCTAAAAGTGGAACTGTTTCTCTGAGCATCAATCTCTCAAATTTGCAGAAGTGAAGGAGTTTAGATAAACAGGCCATGGATCTGACCCATCTCTGGTTCTGCCTTGGGATTTGTAAAATCAAAGTCCAGTCCCTGCTTTACCTTTCTCTGCTTAACTTTGCCCTTTAAAAAAATGGAACTTTCAGAGATTTTTATAAACATTTAAAGGGGTTTTGCAAGTCAACTAGTTAAAATTACTGGGGGTTGCTTGATGTCTGTAACACTGTGTAGTGTAGATGAAAATGAATGGATGTGTGTCCCAGATCTTACATATAGCTATTCTTTAAGAAAAAGCACCCTCAGGTGAGTCCTACAACAATAACATATCTAAATGGCAAAATAGTTCATACTTCCAAATTTGCAGCAATGTTGTTTCTGTTCATTTTAACTATAGGCAAAATATTGGAATCCTAATATGCATGAGATTGAAGGCAGTGTCATGGACAGAGATGGGAAAGTAGTGCATCGGCTTTTTGGGAAATGGCACGAGAGTATATATTGTGGAACCCCGTCTTCACCAACCTGCATATGGCGAGCAAGTTAGTAACCAGTATAATCAACACTTGTGCAGAATTTAAGTTTGCTTGAGAATGAATTTACCCCTATGTTCATACCTCATCTCACGCTACATGTTAGGTCCAGGTTTATTATTATTGTACACAGATTTGCTCTTCTGCTTGTAATGTGTAAAACTTAAATCTGAAAAGCTAAATTGTATAATTAGATTTCTCAAATATTACTTCTGGTAAAGAAACTAATCATGGATTTTTTTTTTCTTTCTGCACTATATTCCCCTTATTTTGGGTCTCAATTCCACATTTGGGCAAGTGTAGGTGTTAGGGGTTTATTTCTAAAAAATAAAAGGGATGTTTTTAAGTTTCTGAAGATGTTTAGTGGATGCCTGTTCTTAGAAATTAAAGATGGGCCCAAAAAGTTCAGTACTGCAATCTGATTCAAATATGAACTCCCACAAAGTTAGGTGGTTTGCACCCATCTCTCTCCAAAATGGTATCAAGCTGTGAAGTCATGCCCTTCTGCAATATGTAATGTATTCATTTTTTATTTATTTTGACTGAGATTCCAAGAAGCTATTTAGGGTGGTATGAGCTTTAAAGCCTTAACATATTAAAATAGCAGAACTTCATAAAAAAAAAAAGATAAAAGCCTAATTTGCACTCTTTATACGTGTTTCTTTTTAGATCCCATGCCTAAAGATTATGAACAGTGTTATGGATTTACACAGTTTGCATTAGAGTTAAATGAACTGGACCCACAGACTAGGCCATTCCTACCACCTACTGACACACGATTTAGACCAGACCAAAGGTAACATGTTCTGCATATATATTCCTTATTCTTTATGTATTTTTATGTCTGATTTTGTAAGTAAGTAGTTTTTAAGTGAGGTGAAACTTGGGGGTACGCAAGACAAATCAGACTCCTGAAAGGGGTACAGTAGTTTGGAAAGGTTGAGAGCCACTGGTCTAGTTCATCCTCCAGAGCTCAGGCAGGATTAAGTATACCTACACCATCTTTCACAGGTGTTTTCCTAACCTATTTTTAAAAACCTCCAGTGTTGGGGATCCCACAACCTCCTTAGGTAACCTATTCCAGAGCTTAACTACCCTTATAGTTCGAAAGTTTTTCCTAATACCTAACTTAAATTGCTCTAGCTGCAAACTAAGCTGATTACTACAGCTATTCTGTGGCCATGGAGAACAGTTGATCACTATCTGTTTTAGAACAACCTTTTACATATTTGAATTATCATGTTCCTCTTCAGTCTTCTCTTATCTAGACTAAACATGCCCAATTTTTTCAACCTTTCCTCAGACAACTGTGATTTCTAAACCTTTTATCATTTTTGTTACTCTCCTCTGGACTCTCTCCAGTTTATTCACATCCTCCTTAAAGTATGGTGCTAAAACTGGACACAGTACCTCAGCAAAGGCCTCACCATTGAGGAGAGTGGGGTGGGGAGGGGAAATTACCTCCCGCATCTTAGATATGACACTCCCAGTAATAAATCCAGAATGACATTTGCCTTTTCACAACAGTATCACATTGTTCACTCATATTCAGTTTGAGAGAGACAAGATAGGTGAGGTAATCTCTTATTGGACCAACTTCTGTTGGTGGAAGGGACAAACTTTTGAGCTTCTCAGAGTTTTCCTTCAGGTCTGGGGAAGGTAACCAGAGTGCCTGAGCTAAATATAACAAGTTGACAGATTGTTAAGTGTAAGGGGTTCACACATGCTGTGGGAGACCACTTAAAATGAAGTAGGCAATTAAGGGTTAGCAGTCAGGGTGTTATACATTTGTTGTAAGGAGACAGTATCTCTAAGTCCATGATTTTTAGAGTCTAGTGGAGTTAGGAATTTAAACTCCCAGGCTTGTCTTTTGAAGGTGTTCTCTAGGATGAGAATTGACAGATCAGATATGGAGTGATCACTTTGTGAAAAGTATTCACCCCCGGGTGTTATGGTGTTTTGTCTTTTATCACGTTTCTGTATGAGTGTCTGGTTTCACCCACACAGTTGTTGGGGCATTTGATGCACTGGATGAGTTACACCACGTGTTGTGATAAGCATGTGTAGGACCCATGGTTATTGAACAGAGTGTTGGGGAGGGGGATACTGATCATCATTAAGGCTACGATTTAGTCATGTGTATTTTCAGTAAAAGTCATGAACAATAACCAAAATGTCACAGCCAGTGACTTGTCTATGACTTTTACTAAAAATACCCCTAACTAAACCTTAGGTGCTATGGGAGGGGGCTCCTGGACTGATGCCCCGGGACAGTGCCTGGGACCAGTTGCCTGGGGCTGCCAGAGCAGTGGCCGATACGGCTGGCCCCAGGGCTACCCCAAGTGCCTTCCGAGACTTCCATGAAAGGCTCGCAGCCTTAATCATCGTAGCAGTGGAGATATGTCTGCAGGTTTTGCATCTATTGTTCTGGCAGGATCTGGTGCCACTTCCAGTTAATGTGTCCTGGCCTGTGGGGAGCTTGCTTCTGATGATGATCTTGGCAAGATTAGGTGGTGGTTTGAAGGATGGAATATGGGGATCAGGAAAGATTTCTTTCAGTATGTGGTCCCCATCAAGTATGGATTGTAATTCTTTGACACCACCCCACAATGGAACCCCTATGGGGTAGGTGACAGCTAGGGCTGTGTTCTCAGTGAGGTGTTTTTTTCTGTATTGAAGCAGATGCTCCTAGTGTATTTGGGTGGCCCATTCCATGATGCGATTTACTTCTCTGGCAGAGTGTCCTTGTTTGGTGAAAGCAGTTTTAAGTGTGTTTAGGTGTGTATCCTGGACTTTCTCTCTGGAGCATATTCTGTGGTATCTTTGAGCCTGGCTGTAGAAACCAATTTCTTGGTGTTGCTGGATCTGTGGAGGTAAGTGTGGTGATCAGTGGGTTTCTTGTATGTAGTTGTTCTTAGGATTCCGTTGTTGAAGATGATGCTGGTGTGGGAATGTTCTAGAGAGTGTTTGATGGACGGGCGGTGATTGTTGAAGATGTGGTGGAAATCCATATTCAATTTGTGATCCCTATAACCCCCTGATCCTTTTCCGCAATACTGCTGTCTACCCATTTATTTCATTTTTTTTTATTTATGCATTGGATTTTTCGTCCCTAACTATGGTCCTTTGCACTTGTCTTTATTGAATGTAATCTAAATTCTAATCCTGTCCTCCAAAGTGCTTGCAACCTCTCCCGGTTTGATGCATCACTTTCTTTTTATGTGAATGAAAAATCTTGCTCTGCTGATTTTAATTGTTCACAATAGCTGAACTACAAACTGCAGGATCTTAGAGTTCAGATTCTGAAACTTTGAGTCAATGAGAGGGCATTGCAAAAACAAAGAGCGGAAGCACCAATAATCTTTGGCTCTTATACCATTGCTGTACTATAGGTTTCTAGAGGAAGGGAATATTGAAGGAGCTGAAATGCAAAAGCAAAGGATTGAACAGTTGCAGAGAGAACGGCGAAAGATTCTAGAAGAAAACAACCTGGAGCATCAACCTAGATTTTTCAGGTACTATGTAAACAATGGCAAATACTGTAATTTAGTGAAGTTTTTGCGTCACAGCACTGGCTTTGTACCACCATGGGGCAGAGGGTGAGTATTTCCATAAGTCAACTTTTACAACCATGTTTTTTTGGAACCTGGCCATATAAACTTGCTTCAGACTTAGATTAGTAGCCAAGGAACAAACATACCCTTCCCCATGACATCCCTAAACTTTTTTTGTTTGTATTTGTAATCCCGGAAAACAAATCTCAGTTGGCAGCCTCCATACCAAGGCTGCAGATTGAATTTGCCTGGGGAATGAACTTGTCTTTTCATCCCTTCGAGTAAGAGTTAAGACACACAGTTGAAGTGGAAGGATTAAGCTTGGCACCTGGTCTGCATAGCCCTCCCAATGAAGTCGACAGGAATTCCATGTGCAGCAGGTTTGTTTCCTGGGCTAGCAATCTGACACTTTACGCAAGCAATGAAGTCACTTCCATCATTTGAATGTGTTTTGTCTATATAAGGGGGGAGAGAGAAACCTTGCATTCATAACATAAAATGGCTAACACAGGCTTTGGCGACTACAAGTTTAAAAGTGAATGTTGGAGAGAACATTGCACTTACCTGCCATGTCCTTGGTTCAGGATCTAGTAAGAAGGTTGGGGCCAGATTCAGAGTAGAACAGATATCTATTGAGACAAAAGGCCTGGGGATTCATGAGGAATTAATTCTTTGCAGTGGAGGTAGGTGTCTTACTTTTAGAGGGAGAATTTGTGAGAGAAATGTAGGAACATTTCCAATGTACGTATAAAGAGGTGACTAAAATACATTCCTTGTGTGTATGAGGAGTGGGGATGAGTTAACCCCTGATTAGTAGTTATAACTGATATTGGGTAAACTCGGATGGTAACTTGATGATTTTGACGAAAGGGAAGCAAGCTTTGCCTCCAGCGGGCTAACCAGTCAGTGTAGCAGGTAAGAGACCCAAGTACTGTTTAATTGTGCATTCCCCCAGATCCTTTATTATGAAGAAATTGTTGATCTATTCAATATTCCCCAAAGGCAGATTGCAGGAGGGAATGCCCCTTGATTTGGAGAAACAAAATTTGGTTAAATATTGGGTAAGATGGAACATATGTAAAATGTATATTGGTAGAAGTGTAATTATGAGGGTAGTGAGCTCTAACAGAGAGCCAGGGCAGGTCAACATGAAGGTAGAGTTACTCTAAGAGTATGTGGGGCATGTGCTTTGGTTTAAATTAATAGGGTAAAATCTCTAGCAAGGCTGTTACCCAAACCTTAGTTCAGATATGGATTATACAGGGTTTACCTTTGATTACTTGGATTTTCTCTCTTCTAAAATGAGTAAACCTGGCTTTATTTAAAATAATTTTAGAGTAAATGGCTGTTGCCATTGCATAAATGCTCTACATTAGATTAAAGTTCGATTGTAATCTTCTCAAAGCAGGACCTGTCTATACGTACAGTGCCTAACTCCATGGGCCCTGACCCTTGATTGAGGCCTCTATGCACTGCCACCGTAAAAATAACTGCCATAAGCCATTCCTGGAGTGAAGTTAGACAGGTCCAGATTCAGACAGTCATAGTGTGGACAAAAGTAATATCGTGGATCATTTAGGAAAACCATTCTCACAAGGGTTTCCAGGAAGTTGGCTGTGAACCTTGAGGCAAGGGAGAAGCCTAGAGCCTGATTTTAAAAAGTACTGAGCACTCACCATTCCAGCAGAAGTCAAAGCAAACTGTGGGTGCTTACCACCTCTGAAAATCGGACAACTCAAGACCTAAACGGGGGTGGCAGGACCAAGAAACCAAAGGGCAGCAAAAGTACAAAGTTCAGCTATATATTCAGGAAATCATTTAATCTTTTGACAGGAAATCCACAGATGACTCCTGGGTGAGCAATGGAACATACATGGATCTTAGAAAAGACCCTGGTTTTTCCAAACTGGACAATCCTGTTCTCTGGTGAGAGAGGACCTTAGAAGATGCTCATCTGTGTTTCTCTGATTTATGTGTGTGTACAGCTTCATACATTAAGTGTACCTTCTAGAATTGTGCTTCATTTAGAATTTGACATATATATTTTCTTCATTTGATTTCTTTACTATTTGATTGTTACCATGATTGTCTGAATGTATAAAAAAACTGGTTTTATAAACTATTTAATAAAATAAACATTATTGAATGTTAATGGCTGGGGAGGGGAGAAAAAGAAGCTTTAACACTACTTTTCCAAAAGTTAATAATGCAAATTCAGATTTAATGTATGCCTTATTGAATTACAAAGGAGAAAATATCAGCCTCTCCTGGCTGTGCTAAGAAACATGAATGGAAGCCATGGTTACATGAACTTTAAGTGGGCTACCAAGGTTGGAAAGACAGCTTTTAATTACTGAAACAAAGCGAGTCTGCTGGTGCTGGAGTCTGAGTAACCTTTTTATTTTTTTCTGTAGAGATTAAATAAATTCCTGTTTTTATTTGCTTGTCACTAGCCTATTTAAAAAGGTAATAGTGAGCTTGTATTTGTGGTTCTACTGCCTTACTTAGACAATTGTACCCTGCTACATGTAACACTAGAAGATCAGGAATCGCCACCAAATCTTCTCACCCAGAATCTTCAAATTTACAGCCCCAAAAAGGGTTTGGTTAATGCTTGAGCACTGACGGGATGAAAGAAGATTTTTCTCTCTTTTCCAGTAAGTAAAATAGACATAGAGCACAAAATTTTCTGCTTCCGTAGCTGGACTTCTTTTATTTACCTGAAAAAATCAAACAGGGATACTTTTTAAAAACTTAGTAAAGTAAATTATTGTGTTAAAGTAACAGACGTTTTCTTAAATACATTTTTGATATATTCTACCTCTTATTATAAGCAGCGTATTTAAGATCTTGTATTAAAAAAAAAAAGACCATCTGCCTTATAATTATATGTATGGAATCTTTGATCTTCCTTTAACTGCTTGTTGTGTTCAGATAAATATTTAAGTGTCTTGCACTAAATTGGTTTTATCTCTTTTCTGTACTCTTTGTACATATAGGTAGTATTTTCATGCAGATCAAAAGTATGTCCATCAAACCACAGCAGAAAATAGATGTAAAATTGCACATTTGAGTGGAGGTGGTGGGGTGTTCCCTCTTCCCTCAAAATCAAAGTAATACAGTAGCACATGTAGCAAAACAAATTGTACTCTCAAAGCAATTTACATTCCTGGCCATACTAGAACCCAAGCCTGATCCACATTTTCTAGGTCTGTTGCATGCAAACCTTTTGTGAGACTCTCTGTGGTAACAACACTGAAAGGTTTCCACTGTGCAAAAAAAGAAAAAAAAGAAAAAGTAAATTATTAGTGGAGGTTTTGAGATTGTACAAATTAAAACACAAGTGAGTCAAAAGTTGTTGCTATGTTTAACCAGTTTATTATTGGTGCAAGTTGCAGCTAGGGGAGATGAAGACTTAAGAGAGATCAAAAGCTTTGAAAAACTTCCAATTTACTGTGTGCTGATGCGGTCTTAAAGAAAACCCTTTAAATATTAGATCTCTTTACTGCAAGTTTATTGTATCATGTATAACATTAAACAAGTGCTATAAAAGTTGCATTTTAAAACTGTTCTGTGATGTCAGTTAAATTTATTATTTAATTTTGCCCGGTAGCACCTTTACAATTCCACTTCACTGATTTCGTAGCCACAGCTGCTACCTTAGGAGTTTAACTCACTTTGCAAATCAGCCTTTCTCTCATTTGCACAATGTTACTTAAGCATTGTTCTCTTTTATTTAATCTGGCCTTTAAAGATGCAGGACACACTAATTGTTTAAAGTCAGCAATTTTAAATAATACATGCTCAGCGTGAGACAGGTGAAATCTGGACTTTCTGACTCAACAGGAAAACTGATCCACTGGGCATAGTTGGAGTGTTTTGAGAGAGAGTTGTGGGAATTGCACAGTCCGATCCGTTGTTGCATCTCCATCTTAGTTTATTTTCTCATTAACAATCAAAAGCTGTCTGAAGAATTAATTGCTACTTCAAGATCAGAGGGGGGATGTGGGAGGGGGGTCACGTGCCCCCCAGATTGGTTACTTGGCTTGTACTGAGCTTGCTCACATGGAATGAGCATGCTCAGTAACACTGCTGAAGTCTGCGGCCCTCACTTTGCCCCCCTTCCCCCACTCTCAGCAGGCCCAGGTCATCTCTATGTTCTAGTTGTCCCTGCCGTCAGTAGTTACCAGGCATTCTAAATAGAATCTTTCCATCACTATTATTTTCCCACAAAATTAACTTTAAAAAAGAAAATTCTCAAGGAAAATTTGAGGAAGGGACTAAGGTGGTATTTAAGTGTTTGTGTCACAATTAGCAAGTGTCACCATTGCTGTCAGATGTGACCATTATTATACCTTCTGCATGCTGTCTGGCTTTTTTTTTTTTTTCTCCAAATCTGTGTAATATGCTTAATTCATTAATAATCAGAAGCTGGCTCAAGAACTGTAAGTTAATGGAGTCCAAAGCAGCAGGCTGTTGCCAACTCTCACAATTTTATCATGAGTCGGTTTAGGAATATTTCTAGCTCTCATGATTGTGAGAAAAGCTTGCAAACACGAGCTCCTAAAAACTCAGACTCCAGAAGGCAAATTAAACCCAAATGTGTATCTCATGATTTTCTAAGATAATCTCATGATTGGGGGAGGGGGAGTTTGACTCATTATTTTTGAGCACTGTGAGTTGGCAATACTGTTTTGGGATATTTGTGACCATTTAAAATCTTTAAAACTTTTCTTATTACATACCCCCTTCCAGATATACCAGCTGCCTGCATACCCCTACCCTTCTCATCACTGATACTTTGTGTGTTCTTCTTAAAACAACCTGTCTTTAGCCATTTGTCCCTATTTCACTGTTGCGTACAGATATAGTGCAACGTATACAACCAAGGGGGGGTGAGGGGAACCCTAAATTCTGAGCTCAGTTAGACTGGACAGTTGCTAGACAACTGAACCCATGCTGTACAGTGATTAGAGGTGAGGGTTCTGTGTATCTCTGTTCTCACTGGTACATCTTGAAGTAAATTAACTACCGTATTATATATAACAAATTCCCACAGAGTTTTAAAGCTTTGTCTGACTAGCCTGTTATGAAAATGCAATAAAATAAGAAAATCCACCAATTTCTCCCATGTACCACCCCCCAGAGATGTTTCATGTACCCCAGGGGTAAGCCTACTACAGTTTGGGACCCCCTGGATAATTTAGGACCTAAGCTAATGCAAAAATGCATTTTTACCAATGACTCGGTACACAGGCCTAATCCTTCACTCCTCTTTCAGGCAAAACTCCTAGATCAGGAAGATGGGTTAATTTTGTACTACTCCAGTTCTTATACTGTGGTACCAAAGGAATCCAGAATATTTCTTGTATATCGAAGTAAAACAATTGCACCTGGCAGTCCCTTCTCATTGTATGCTTCCCAGGTTTGCAGCATGAATATTAACTATTGGGAAAGGTAAAGCTACTGAGAAAGTTAGAGCTGTGGTGTTTCTCTTACACCACATTTCCACTGCTAGCTGACTCTAGTTGTTGATCCTTTAGTTAATTACAAATAGGTTCAGATGTGGAAGAAAAATGCCTTGAAAACATTCTGTGTGTGTGCACACAAACCCATTCATAGCCCATATGTGTAAGCAATTACTCATGGCAAGATGAACATGCAGTTCACACCAGCCTGCTGAAGTATAGTGTAGCTTTTCTTTTTAATGACTAAATAAATAACATTTTGTTTAATTTAGATTTCTGTGTAGTCACACTTCCTCCCTGCATACTGAGAACAAAATATTGTGTTTTCCTTTCATATTGTCCATTTTTCAAAAAAACTGCATTGAAATAAAAAGGCCCTGACATCCGCCCACAAAACCAAGGAAGCTGTTAAAATAGACATGCATCTTTAAAATAAATGAAGAGCAAGTATCATTGCTACCATCCTCTATTCTGGGGCATTAGCTGGTCTTGCGCATCTTATGAGCTATAGCCAGGGATTCTGGCTTTCTGTTTTAACTCATGCAACTATCTGAAGCTACCTCTTCTGGTGGTGTTATTTTAAACATGAATGCTGAAAAGAACTGATTCAGTCGCCTAATTTGTTCATGAGAAATTAGGAGCTGTCATGACTTCAATTTTACCGACTTTTCAGTGTTAATAGATAAGAGCAGACTCCTGAACTAAAACACTGTAACTGGGAGGAAAATTTGAGTGAACATAGGGAAGCATGCCTTTGGATTTTCTAAAAAATTGTAGTAACAGACATTTTGAAATGAGTCAATTTGTGCAAAACAAACACTGAATTTCAGAAACGTGGTAAACGTAAAGCCAAAATCTCTAATTATAATACTTGCAGAATTTCAGGAGTGAGGTTTTAACTCTGTCCATTTTGCTGTTGTTGGTTTATTAGACTTTAAATAGTTTTTCTTCACACGCACACCTTTCGGTATGTAATTATTTTAGGGGAATTAAACAGTAGTATAGCCTATATAGGACAACCTTTTTGGAAGTGTAAAATTTGAATTATTTTTTTAAGAAGCAATTCACATACGCTGCCAATCTTTACAGAAAGTCAAATCACTGACATGTCCAAGCATCTGCAATCAGAGTTTGTTGAAGGGTAAACCAGTTTTGACATCTATAGCCTCTTCTGCAGAGAGAATATTTCTTCATTTCAGTTTATTCAACTAGTTCAGTTCAATGACTAGGTCATTCACAGTTACGAAACCAAGAGGGAGTTGAAAAAGCAGAAAGCTTGTGTTCCTCTTCCAAGCTCTGAATAAAAGACTGGGTGTGAGAGGATGAGAACTATTAGTTCTAAAATCTTGAAGGGCCTCGTGAACTGAAACAATCCATTCAATTCATTAGCTACTGCTACTTCTGTTTAATAATTCAGTTGGTTTAAAATGCAAAAGATGATTTGATAACCTTCTTGATAAGAAAGTTTGTATCTAGCAGATAAGAGTGTTGTTTAACTATTTTGTGTAAAAAAAAAAAAAAAATTTAAAAATGCTCTTTTGGTGCATTTTAAATTGAATTTTAATTTGTATGCAAATAGACCTTGGCACAAATCACAAGTAAAAAAATCTAGTAAGTAAAATATGCATAATACAAAAATGTACAAGTTAAGAATTGGAATAAATGTGAGTTAAGCTATGTAATTGCTTAAATGTGTATAGATATAGCATAACTATAGTAGAGCTCTAGATTTAATGTGAGTCTATATTTAGTTGCAGATGAACACATTTTAATGGTTATTAAACCATGAGAATCCACCTTTCTTTAGGAAAATAAAAAGTACAAATGCAAACAAGATTAAAATGGATTATCTATTTAAATAATAAAAATTTATTTGAAAGTGTGATTTAAAATTGGCGATTTCGATTACTTCAATCTAAATCAATCCACCCTACTATTCTTGGTAAGCAGAATCTCATTAAAATCTGTTGAAATTTTGACCAGAGCAGATCTTAGCATTTTTTTGGGTGGGCCTGTGAAACACCTGGTTGCTTCTCAAGATGTAACCAACTCCCATCTGAACTGACCTGAAGATGTGGGAGAAGGTTGCTAAGATGGTTCTTTGGGAGATATATACCGGACTTAATGGACTAACTTACATTAAAAGGGTTGGTAGTGGGGAGGAACACTTTCCGTTCCTCTAAACGTGGCTTTCTGCTGCGGAAGTGGCTCCCGGCTGCTCGTGTTGGAGCTCTGTTTATGGGCACTGCACTACACACGGGGGGTGTGATTCCCCGGCTTGTGTACACATACTTGCACTAGCTCTTACCGAACTAGCATGTGTGTACACAGCAGTGTAGCCACGGCAGCACAGGTGGCGGCAGGGGAGCAAGTACCGAGCTACCAGTTTGAGGCAGGTTTGTACTCGGTATGGCTAAGCCTCCGCTGCTGCTGTCTGTGCTACCGTGGCCACGCAACTGTGTACCCTGGTGCCATCTCGATGAGCACTGTGCAAGCATAGGTACACACGCAGGGTAGTCACATCCCTAATGCCTAGTGCAGCTGGAGCTAGAGCTGCCAACACTTTAAAAAAAAAACAAAACAAAAAAAGGTTGCCAGAGGCAATCATCCAAATGAATTCGGGACCAGAGGACTGCTAGGTTCCTCAGCTCCTGAAAGATGTTGTGTCTCTTCTACTGGAATTTAGCATGGCTGTCTTACCGCCAGTTGGAAAACTTCCAACTTCAGACCAGACTGCAAAAGCATCTGTTAAACTTTTTGCTGAAACTATTTTGAAACTAGAGTTAGAAACTATTTTGTTTCCCATATTGGGACAGAGGCGAGGGAGTGGCTGCAGGGTTTCACAAGTCCTAAAGCTCTTCTCTAGTTTTTACCTAATAGAGTATTGCTACAGTGTTTGAGAAGCCTTCTCATTGCACCCCCGGCCAGTTTTTCTGCTCCTGGAGTTGTTCCAACGTGCAGCAGGATTTTTCAACAATGCTACACCCCAGTCCACCCTTCTGTCCCCTTTTAATGTTTAAATTGTGATTCATGTTTTTATTTTAATGAGTGCAAATAAAGACCAGATAAACACTGGTATAGTCCTAAATTATTGAATGTTAA